GAGCTACATAGCTCAGTGAGCCTTACCTGGTAAAAGAAAAGAAAACAAGTGTTTAGTATATATCCGAGCCAGGCAAGGTTGTCTTGGATATCAGCATGGCTCACAGCAAGCAGGGCACTTTTCTGAGTGGAGTTTGTATGTTCTCCTCCACCTCCTGCCCCCCCTATTCTGCATGTTTTTCCTCCCAGGATCTCTTGCTTTCTTTCCAAAGCTAAAAGGCACCATGGAACTGGTATTGGACAAATTTTCCAATGCTTCAAAAATTGCCCGTAAATTAATTCGATTGGGATTACGCAGCAGCAGCCACAGCAACATCGTCGCCCCATACTGCGAAAACTTGGCAGGAGCTTCCTGAAAAAGAGTCTTGAGACCCGATGAGGCTCTCCTTGGTAAGAAAATATATCTGAGCAAGGCAGGGGGGTGCGTGAGCCAGGCTGGAGTACGTGAGCCAGACAGGAGCCTCCATGTTCCATCGCGCGCACTTCCACACTTCGGTGCTCAGCAGCCGCTCCTGACATTCCGCGTAGCGTCGCGAACACCGCCGTCGTCGCACGTGAACCCTGACCTCTGTCACCGGCGTGCAAATTCGCGGTGGCTCGTTTGGCTCGGCGAGTCCGAGGCCCTTTGCGGTTTATCCCACCAGGGGGGCCTCCTGGCGCCGTGTGCCAGCGCTCTCGTGCGCTGTACAGGATGGCGTGCGCCACGGTGAGGGTGAGATGGCGCCGTTGACACGGGCCGCAGAGGGGGTGGTGGGTGGGGGCGAGCGATATCGGCTCCGAGCGTCTAGCCGGCAGCTCCCGGTGCATTCCTGTGTGTGGCCCCAAATGATGGCAGTTGGGACGGACTCCGATAATTTGTGTTCGCTCGGGATGGACGGCCGGGCCAGGGAGACTCGCCGCGATGCTGAGCGGACGTCGTTCGGACATGTGGTCCGAGGCTCAGAAGACGACGGTGGACGGAAAGTTCAGACCGTGAACGTCGAGGGAAAGAGAAAAAGATGGATGGGGAGACCGAAAAAGACCTGGAGAGAGGTTTTCAACGAGGACATGAGAACACTCTGCCTCGTGTGTTGGAGGTGGCGATGGATCGAAGACCGTGGAGGAGGGGGAGAGGACTCTGAGATCGGACCCCATCCGTCGTGCGACAAGATGAAGAGGCGTGATCAGTCCGCTGCTGGATGAAGCTGTCGCCACGTCCCACTGTTCTGCGATGTAATGATCCATGGAAGCGCCTGTACATGGCGGATGCTCAGAAGGACGTTGGGTGACAGATAAAGGGACACGTAGATTGGAGAAGAAAGGCAGGTTCAAGACATACTCTTTGGTTCTTTGGATTCCTGTAGTCACGAAAGCTTCGAATCAAGGTTAAAAACATTGACTGTTAAGAAAGTAAGTGGCCTTGGACAGGACACGTGACGGCCAGAAGGAACGATGCCCGGTGGTCGAGACTCACGACGGAATGGCAGCCAAGGAGGGAAGGTGCCTGAGAAGTTGTATCTGTGTAGATTTTCCTTTTTCTTTTACAGCCGCAGAGGTTAATGCGTCCGTCTTTGAGGGTTTATTTGCCGCTCGTTGGATAAGATGTTTGTCTCGGTGGGTTTTTTGGCTGACGTCTCTGTTGAGAACGATGTGGTCAAATCTCCAAAACGAGATGGGAAATGGAGCCAATCTCTGTTGATAGAGAGACCGGTCCTGTTCAATTCACGTTGTTCATTTGCTATGTTATTACGGAACCACGGCATAAAGTACAATCTTGCAAAACAGCGAGTCGGCCAGCCTCTCCGCCCTCCCTCTCCGCCCTCCCTCTCTGCTGTGAAGCAGCTCCATTGCCCAAACATCAGCCGCTTGTGTAAATGTTGATACTGCAGCCGTGTTAATGACGGACGTGGTGAGTTGCGCTTGCGCCCCACTGCAAGCACAGGTTCTTCGACCGTTATGGCGCCGTGAGCCCTTTGAGCAGGATCTGTGCGGAGAGGCATCGAGTTCCAAAAAGGGCGGCGCTGCCGCAATATTGGAGCGTCGGTCGCGTAGGTGGGGCCAGCTGTCTACTGCCGGTAGTTGGGAGCCGTCTGCGGGGCGCTGCCGATGTTGCCATGCTAGCCCCTGGGGCCGGAGGAGATAAAGCGGATAAATCCCGGCGCTAAAAACACGCAACTGCTCGGCTTTAGCCCCTCGCGGGGGGCCCCCCGATGTTTTGATAGCGGGGCAATTGGCCAAAATGATCTGCAGCCTAAACATTTTATGCGGTCGGCTTAACTTAGGGGGCTCGCTCACCCCCTCCTGCGTCGCGCGGTACAGAAAATGCGGCGTTTGTTTTCGCGAGCCCTTTTCAAAACCGTTCTCTGCTCTTGGCAAAACACGAAGGTGATGAGCCACAGGAAGGGACATGTGAGCAAGCGGCACGTGGCGGCACGACGCCGCGTTGGCTGCCAAAATGCCGGGCGTCTTGGCAAACCGCGCTCGGGGTTAACGGGAGGTTAACGGGAGTCGCACGGTGGGACCAGGTGCGCCGTATACCTAGCGTGCGCCACCAAATCGAGGCTTCTTGGCAAACGCTCTTACGTTGGTGATGTAATGCCGTTGCCGCCGGGAGAGAGACAGAAACTGGCGGAGCGTCTGCTGGGCTGCACGGCGAGTCACCAGGAATGGGTTTCATCCAAGAGGAGAAGCGCTCACCGTGACTGGAGAGCGCAAAAAAGTGGACGGTGTCTCTCCATCATCGGCCGCCACGGTGACGATGAGATGAGAGGGAGAATCCGATGCTGAAACGGTTGCTGCGCGCCCACAGCTGGTGGTGCATATTCCACATTCCTATGATGGGGGACCATTTCAATTTTAAGACAACCACCGTCTAGATACCACATTCTCTTTCATGCTTGGGTCACCGAATTTTTTTTATTGGCTCGTACTGCGCCATGTATTTTTTGTTGTTGCGAATTTTAATTTAATAATTCATCTTTGCCTCGACAGTTGCCTTGGTCTCGGTCCAGGAAAAAATTGTGTTTGTCCGAGACTCCCGCCGTCACTGCCGCCGCCAACCCCGCCGCTCGCTCGCTCGCTCGCAAGGGAAGCAACTCTGATTCTGGGCCAGATGGGTAATTTGTGCGACGGGCCCTGGGAGGGGAAGCTGAGCGGGCCTGGCTCGCACGTGCACTTGATTACCTTGGCAATGCGGGCGAGCGGAAGGCTTGGGGGTAGGGGGTGGGGGGCAGCGAGGTGACGGTGGCGCGGTTGCCGGTCACGGAGGTGACGTGCGCCGTCGCTTTGCTTCACTGGGGCGGCCGCCACTGTGTTGCATGACGCCAGGATTGTCGCGTTTGTCTTGTCTACGCGCGTGTTTCCTTGAGGGCGCGCCTGTGTGCGTGCGTGCGTGTGATCTCGGTCCGGTCCTCAGCCACGGTTAACATGAGTGATATCTGAATTGACTGAGCCTTAAATGAGTACCCAGTGCTGTGTGTAAACATGAGCACTGGGAAGATGGACGAGTGTAGTGCTGGGCACACAACCCCCCTTGTGTGCCGATTAGCACGTTTGGCTATGTACAATGCGAAAGAAGTTCAACATACATTCATAGGTTTTTGCTAACAGCTCTTGCCCCAACAGTTTGTTGATGAAGATCTTGTCTTTTGCTCCCTTTTGCATGCCTAGTTCTGTGACGAAATTTCACCCTTCTCTTCCCACTCGAGCCCCTGCTCTTGCTCCCCATACCCTCTCCCCCACACCTGCTTACCCCCCCCCCCCCTGCTTACCCCCCCCCCCCCGTATAATTTTCCTTGTCATCCATCCGTTTGCGCTGCAGGAATGCGGCTCGCTGCAGACTGAAGTCATTACTGCGAGCATGTGGCTTCCTCCCCTGCGCCCCCCCACCGTACAGCCCCCCCCCCCAGTGGCCTTGTTAATGCATCTCCTTTTATATCCTTGCCAAGAGAAACTGCTCCTTATTTGTGTGACTCGGGCGACGGTTTCTGTAGATTCCGGTTTTGTGGGAGCGGCGATCTTCCGTTCGTCGTATTTCGTTTTTTTGAACGGACCCCCATTTTTCTGTCCCGTGGAGTTTAGCATCGTCGTCATCGCCGCCATCAATCATCGTCACGACGGTAGCCGTCATCGGTCATCGTGCGTTGTATATCCACCACCGGGTCATAAGCCCCCCCCCCCCCACCCTGCACCGTCCCCCGATCCTTCGTGGTCCTGCGCTGCCGTGATCCGTCTCCCTCCCGCACTGCACGCACGCGAGCCCATTTGCTCCACCTCCACGACGGTTGGCCTCTTGGCTACCGCTCCGTTGCAAATTCTCAATCCCTTCCAAGCAACCTGTCCTGCCAAGCTCAATTACTTTGGTTTGTTTTTTTGACAGACAGCACGGTCGGCGAGTCGTGCGTTTAATCAAAACCGAATGCGGTATGGGCCGTGGCTTGCCAATGATCGCCGTGACGGTGTGGGCCTCTTTGTCGTCGTCGTCGCCTCCGCTACGCGTGCGTCGCGCTGTCGTGCTGCGACTGAATCAAAGACCTTGCCTTGGCTCTCCGCGTCATCATCAACCGTGGTCTCTCCACTGCTGGATGAGACCATTGCTCACGGTCTTGTGATGTAAGGGTGCGTCGAGAGCCTGCACGTGCTCCCGATTTGATCGCTCCGTGTCTGCTGGGGACATCCTTTTGGGGCTCCCTTGGCTACCACTCCCTCATTAGTCTTGCCCAGCGGCCTCCTTCCCGCAACATCACCTGCCTGAGCCCGCTGAATGTTCTTATCAGCCAATAGGATGCCTCTGATTTGCGTATTGTTCTCGATTGCTGTTCATGTGTTGAACACTGTTCTGTTTGCCCCTTTGTTCCCTTGTGTTGTCCCCGTGCCTCCTTGTGTATCCCTTTGTGTCCCTTCCATGTCTCCCCTCTGCGTATCCCCACCCCCTCCGCCTCGTGTGTGTCCCCCCTGTGTGTGTGTGTCCTCCCTGTGTGTGTGTGTCCCCACCGTGTGTCGTCCCCCGTCCCCGTCTCCCAGTGTTCCCGTACTTCAAGATGGAGCCAGAGAACACGACGGTGTACGCGGGCGACTCGGCCATGTTTCACTGCCAGGCGCTGGGCGACCCCGAGCCGAGCGCGCAGTGGAAGGTGCGAGGGCACATCCTCAACTCCAACGAGCCCATTAACAGGTAGGAGGCGCGTGCACGCTCGCACGACGGGCGCCGCGGTTCGCCGTTAAGTGGCGGTGACCTCGCCGCGGTGCTTTTTGCCGGGTTGGGTGCACTTTGGGGCCCACGTGGAAGTATCGAAGGTTCACTGGCAGGAGGTCGCAGGACAGACCCAGGTGTTATGGGTTAACTGATTGTGAGCATCGCTTCCCTCCGCCCTTTGTTGTTGTTGGACGGCGACTGCCTCCAACTGTCCCAATTGCCTCCTTCACAGAGGCTGATCTTGACACCGCTGGTTCAATAAGCTCCACATCCTCCTGTACCACATCAAAGACAAAGATCCCCCTGTAGTCACAAGAGACTGCTGGGACAAGTGCTGCTAGAGAGCACCTATGAAGGCTGGCATGGCACACGAGCGGGTGATGTGGCCAGCACCATGCCAGACCACCTTTGTTTCTCCAGTGCTTATGCTCACACGCCACATTTGAGGCCGAGTCGATCGAGGGGAGGCACGGAACTGCTTCAGATAATTGCCATTGGTGTTGGTGGCATTGAGCGGGACTGGAACTCGGGTGAGCGTGAATCGAACTCAGGTCACCGGGGTTCGATGCGCGGTGCGCTAACCGCTACAGCCCAGCGCTCCTGACGACACTCGCCCAGGCACATGCGCACGCTCCCTCACGGAACATCCCAACAGCTCAATGCTGTAATTAAGGCCACGCAAGACGCGGCTGGAGTGGGAACATTTTGCTATCATCATCATCGTCATCGCCGCCGTGAGAGTGTTCCGGCGCTGCCCACGGGGCCGTCTCCTGCTGCCCCACTGTCTGTTGCTGCTCCTCCCCCCTTTGTGGGGCTGCTGTGCCATCGCGTGCTGCCCTTCCTGTCTTCAACTGCCCCTTGCGTTTCATGTTGCACATTTGTTTCCTGCTGCCCCTCTGTGTCATGATCACCCTGCTGTCTGCTCATGAAAATGATTTGTTTTTAGTGTCGCATTGTGGGATTTTGTTGCCATGAATGACGGTATATTATTATCGTGCTGCCTCCTTAACCTCGGGGCATCTCAGAGCGCTTTGCGCGTGGCAAGCGATTTGCAGCACATCTCACCTTATCACATTTGAATGGGCATCCCCAGCGGCAGCTGCCCCTGTGCACCGCGAGGTGACTAAGCACCTGGCCTGCAAGCAGGCATGGCTCTGCCAGTAGGTGCCGATGATTGCCTCCGTGTGTAATCCCTATTGAGCAATTTGCAGGTAATTTTTCAACTTGCCAGATTTTGACCATTATGCCGGCACACAGTGGCCTTCTCATTTCGAATGGCGTCAGGGGATCTTAAACGTTCGCCGCGAAGCAGGCGGCGCATAAAACATCTTGATTAGTACTCGCCGCAGTCATAATCGGGGGCGGCCTGCCAGATTTGACGAGCGAGGCTGTGCAAACTAGCGGTGACTGTGCTACCACTTGGCTATGTCAAGTCGCCTGCTTGCCCTCTGTCTCGAGAGAGACGGGAAACGGGAACACGTGGCTTATAGAACAAACGCAGGTTAGAGACATCAGTCTTTGCTGTGAGGAAGAGCGAGTGGGCTTGAGCGGGAAACGTCACGGCTAGGAGGGGCGACGGCCGGTGGGTCCAGTCCCACGACAAAGTGGCAGCCACAAGGAGGGAAGTCGCCCAAGAATGACATCCACCGCAGCGATGGAGCAATGAGATCACGTCACCGGGCAGGAGCAGGATAGAACATCGCATCACGGTTCCAAGAGGTTGACGATGGCTTGGGGGGGGGGGGGGGAGGCATTCATCCTAGCAGCGGATAGAATCACGTCTGATGGTGACTGCCATCTTCAGACGCTCTCCGAACCCCCCCTCCCCCCTCCGCATGCTGCAACTTTATTCATTGTCACCTCCGCTCGCTTTCTTGAGATGCCGCCCCTCGTCTTGGCGCTGCCGCCCCCCCTCCTCTCCGCACGAAGGCCGCTCTTCCCGCTCCCTCGCTTCGGTCGCGACGCCAACAAAGGAGCGCGTGGCGCGGCGGAGACTTGCATCTCTCAACGCTTTTGTTCGTCGTGATTCACATTTTGGTGTTGTGGGAGCCGCACAAGTCTGGCGGTCAGATTATCCTTGAGCATAATTGGCAGACTCTGAGCCATATTTATAGCCGGTGTAATCCGGTGTAAAATGACTGATCAATCGCGGAATATGCTTTTCGACAATGGGCGCGTTCATTTCGGAGGCTCAGAATTGCCGTATTGTTTGCGTTGTACGGTCGCGCTCGGCACTCGAATTGAACATTCCCGGGCCGCCCCAGTTGAAACCGCGGGCGCGTTAACTTTAAAATATACCGTGCACCGTCTGCTTAAAGGGTGACGTTGAGGATCCCGTGGTGTCATTGAGAGAAGGGTAGGCCGCGTGCGGCGACGTCGTGAAAATGTTGTTTTTACCAAGTTTAAGTCATTTCCCGCAGATTACCTGTTTGGGGAAACGTGGCGTCATCGCCCCCTGCTGCGAAACTTAGCAGGACGCTGTGAGGTTTTTCTTGGGAATACGAATGTTAAGGAATTTAATTAAATAGAAATCCGTCTTCACACTTGCACCGTTGCTCCAAAACCTCATGTAAAATTCTGCCTGTTTGTATAAATATGGTAATTATTGCGTAGGAGAGAGGATGGTGGCAGTTGTTTAACCACCACATCATCAGGGTCCTGCCTGGCTAACCGCCGCTGCTGTTATTGAGACTTCAGACCAGCGAGTGTGGTGGTGGTAAGGCGGGGAGGTTCCAGGGGTTCAGAGCCCTGCGGGAGCAATTAACATATGCGTGGGGAATGGCAGCGCAGTCATTAGCGCACTGCACTATGATCCCGTCAAGCTGGATTTGATTCGTGGCCACGGCTAACATCAGAATTGGTCCTGGGCACGGCGCGTAAACATCAGCGTTGAGCAGACAAATGCGGCCGGTCGCGGTGTTGACCACTCCACCCTTTCGTGCGGCGTGCCGCCCTGTGTAGGCGCTCCTTAACAGCACTTGCTTCCTCAGGTTAAAAGCTACACGGGGGATCTTTGTCTTTCTTCGGGGTTACTGGGACATGTGGCAAGGGTCTTGGCTCACCGCAGCGTCACGTGGGTGGCAGCCGCTCGCACAAATGAGTCTGGCTGCCTCCCTCGTGTAGAGCGCGCCGAGGCTGCATGCCGCAATCGTGAACGTGGCACTGAGCGCCACACAGCGGGGCAGGATTAGCGCCTCTCGGGCAGACGGGCGCTGTGTGGCGACGGGGTCGAGGCCGCCACGCTGGCGCGCAGCCGTCTGCTGCAGTGGTGCTCCTTTATCTTGCGCGAGCAGCACTTTACCAGTTTCAGCGGTGTGTGCGTGGGCTTAAGGCTATACGGGGGGATCTTTGTCTTTGCGTGTGCTTACATGAGGAGCGGTTATGTATAGGTTAGCGCACTGCACTACGAACCTGGTATCCCGGAGTTCGATTCCTGCTCACGGCCAACACCAGTGAAATTTATCTAAATCGGTCCTGGGCCTCCCCTCGTTCAATTCAGCCTAAAATGAATACCTGGCGAGATATGTAAACATCACCACTGGGGAGACAACGGCGGCCCGGCGTGGAGTTGGCCACTCACCCTCTCGCGTGCCGTGCCAGCTAACAGCACTTGCCCCAACAGTCCGTTCAGGCTAAACAGGGGATTTTGTCTTTGTTGGTTTCTATGGTTTAAAGTCTGTGTCTTGCCTGCACCGACCGACATTCTAATAACCCACATGGTGCATGGAGGCCATTATCCAGCAGTGGATTGAAAATGGGCTGTACACGTTGCCCCCTTCCACTTGCATGGTGATAGACACTGATGAGTGTTCTAATGATGATGCTGGCATTTATATTGCACCCGTAACTAAACGTAATGAGACGTCTCAAGAGTGTAGTTGTTTTTAATAAAGGGGACCTCCTAATGGCAGCTGTCCCTGGGCAGCACAATGCGGACTCAGCGCTTGTCTGCAAGGATGCTTTAGCCTGCCAATAGGGTGGGTGGGGGGGATGATGTTGCTTTTGGTTATTCCATTTAATACATTTGTGAGTCATTTATCAAATTTGGGCAAATGTGTTCTGCCTCTTGTGTTCGGCTCATTCTTTCCGCATGTGCCCACGGCGATTGATCTTCGCGCACGGTGCGACGCTCGCAAAGATCTTTTTATCAGCGCCGTCGTTACGCTCCCTCCCATCCGTCAGCGTTCGCTCTCGCCGGCTGCCCCGGCAGCCGGGGCGACTTGTGCGACTCGCGTCGTTCCGGGCCGCGCTCCCTCGCGAGCCGCCGATTGTAATCTCGGCGGGGCGCGGACGGCGCAGCCGCCACCTCCGCAGGTGCGCGACGCCACTCGTTAGCCTGAGCGCCGGGCGTTGTCTTACCTTGTTGAGTCGTGGTGCGCGCTCGTTAAAACGCGACGCAGCCCGAGTGCCGGGAAACAAACAGCGCTTGTGTTGACGCCCCGCGCCGTCCGACGTGAGTTCGGAGCTTTGCTCATGAGAAAATAAGACTTTAAAGTGACTTTCAGGCGACGGTCGCCGTAGCGCCCTCGAGTGCTGTAGCTGTATCGGCGCACCGCGCGTACGATCGTGTTGTTGGACGACGATGTCACTGGAATGCTGTCATCACGTGTTTGTAGCGCAATTTATTTTCCACTGAAAAAGCTTGAGACTCGTGTTGGGCAGCCCCTAACACGACCTCGTATCTAGAAGACGAGAGCTCGCCGGCTTTTTGGGTTTTGTCCTAATTTTTTGGCTCTTCGCCATTGTATTATGTGCTCGCAGCCTCGCATCGTGAGATGCTGTCCGTAGGAGTTTCTCCCAGAGTAGTGCGTCCCTTCTGCCCACGGAATTGATTATCACAGAACTACTTCTCCACGTGACCACTAATCAACACTAGAGGCGCCGTACTCTCCCATCCGCCCTGCTGGGGCGATATTCGTCGCGTGCCGGTCAAAGCGACGCTTGGGAATTTTTTTCCGAATTCAGTGAAAACAGACGTTGAATACAATTTATTTTGTGTGCAGCCATTGCTACCGCGGGCACCGGTGTGATGCGGTTTAATCACGGGCCGTTGAGGTCAGGATTCATACCCAGAAGGTTAACAGTGGTGCCGGTTCACTGCTCTGACCCCTGGTCCACTGGGCCACCCCTGCGCTGTTTGTGTTTTGGATTGCGTCGTTCTTCGTGTCCGGGCGCCGTGAATGTTGCTGGACTATCGACGTGGATCATTGTCGGTGGGCTTATTGGCGCGCGCCTGCGATCCGGCGCTTTGGAGGACAGGGTTGGTGGATCATGTAGAGATATGAAAAAATTGCCGGTGGTCAAGAGCAACGACAGAGTGGCAGCCAAAGGAGGGAACACGCCCGATGTGAGGATGTTCACGATGGAGATTTAGCGAAGGGATAGGATTTGAGTTGGATTATTTAACATCGTGAACAGATCGTGGTTGACAATGGATGACAACGATGCCTCTTGAGTTGCCCCCCTCCGGCGCTGCCAACTCAAGTTGCCCCCTCCGTGTGGAGGGTGACGGCGACAGCTTTGGGAGGAGGTCTTCCCACGGCCCTGACACAGTCAACGTCAATGACGACGACGACGATGTTGTTGACAGGTAGCGCCTGCTGCGATCGCCATCGTGTCAACTTAGCCGGGGGTCTAAGCCCGTGTCTCGGACTCCCCGTGCTAATGCGTTTAGGGCGTGGGCTTCCCGCAGAGGCTGATCGGCTCAGCAGCCTAATGCTCCGTGTTATGGCACTGAGCCAACACCGCCACCGCCCCCTTCTCCGGAGCTTGACCCCCCACCACCTCCCACCGCCACCACACGCGTGTACGCGCGCACACGCGTGCAGAGACGCGCACGCAGGTGAAAAACACGCGCGTCGCATTCCCCCGTCAGGAAGGGTCTGTAATGGCGAAGAGCCCGATGGGATCTTCCATCTCGCCGACTCGGCACAACCGAGGCGCTGTGCGGTTTGCGGTGGAGCTCGCTTAGGCTGCAGTCGATTGGAGTGGCTGTTGGGAGGGGGAAGGGTGTGGGGCTGCGGGGGCGGGAGTGTTGTTGGGGGTGGAGGTGAAGTGATCTGTCAGACGAGCTCTGGCAGGGGAGGCTGGGCCGGCCGGGATGCTAAAACCACTGTCTCGCGTGCGGTGAATTCACGCCGCTTCCCTGCTCATCCCTCCCATGATGCTCCTCTGCATACCGCCCTTTTGTCAATCCACTGCTGGATGAGGGCCCTCCCCATACGGTGCGAGTCGTGGTGATTTATTTGACCATTGCATTTCCCGCTGGCCACTTGCGTGGTTGGGACGGCACATTGGTGCACTATAGCGATGGATGTATCCTCCTCCACCCTATCCTCCATCCTGCACACACGTCCATCCCATCTACAGCACTGACCACGTAAAAAACGTTCTCTCGGCACCGCACGGCAGATGATAACAAAAGCATTCTGGTCCACCCTGCCCCAACCCCCTGCCCCTTTTGATGCCCCCATTGCAGGGTGGAGCTGCTGCCCAATGGCTCGCTGTTGATCCGGGACGTGCGTAACGAGGACTCGGGCTGGTACACGTGCATCGCCGGCAACAAGTGCAACATCAAGCACCACGACGCCTACCTCTACATTGTCGGTACGGCGGCCGGCCCGACCCGTATCGATCTGTCGGTTTTCGTCAACCGGCTGCTGCCGCCGTTGTTGTGGTTCTCAATTGTGGGCTCGGCGCCAACGCGATTCTTGGGTTGTGAAGTGCGCACCTTGGTTCCGTGCCCATAACGCGAGACCCGCCCCCTGGTGATGATCCCATGACGGTAAACATCCAGCCGGGGTACGTCTCTGCTCTGTGAGCTTCTCGCCGCTCGTGAGACGATGGTTCTACATCCCCCATGGTGCGGGCGACGAGTCTATTCGTACGAATGCCCCAGTTTGGCTTTTCGCAAAGTGGTAGCTATTTTACCCGTCGTAGAGGAATGATGAGCTGGGATTGAACTTTTGTGACCTTCCGCTCGCTTAGCCACCCAACTCGCCCGCCCGCCCATCTGTGCTAAACTACGACGGCGCTTACCCGTAGTGGCACGTGTCCAAAATGGGTGAATTCGAATTTTTTTATTTTTCCACGTGTCCCTCGCTTTAAAATAAATCTGCCTGAGGATTAGCGCGCACGGGTAGGCGTGCCCTCGTGTAGTCGTGTAATACGAGCCGCCGGCGGATTCGCATAACGAAACGCTAGCCCTGGCCCACTCGGGCGCCAGGGGCCTGTGCGGGACCCCGCTCTCACGCCCCCCCGCGGTGCTGCAGCCAAGGGTGTCGTGCAAAGAGAGGAACACAATGGGCACACAAAGGAGGGGGAAAAGGTACAGCCCTGAAATTGCTTGCTCACCCATTACACCACCGTGGCAGCTCTGAAATACAATAACCATTCTTTTATTTAACCATGAAAGCCTCACTTAAAGATGTCTTTTCACATGAGGCCCTGCTTTATTGACAACGTTTGGAAAATTTGCTATTTCGGTGTGTGGGAGGGAATGGGAGGGTCTGGAGAAAATTCACCCCATGCCCCCCCCCTCCCTCTGCCCCCCTCCTCCTCCCAGTGCGCCCACTGACCGTGCCCCCCACGGAAGAAACCCAGGTGTCCCCCTACAAGATGATCCAGACGATCGGGCTGTCGGTGGGGGCGGCCGTTGCCTACATCATCATGGTGCTGGGCCTCATGCTCTACTGCAAGAAACGGCGCAAGTCTCGCAGCTCCAAGAAGCAGCCGAGCACCGGGGAGCCGGAGACGGAACATCTCAATGGTGGGTGGCGGCGGTGGTGGTGCGGTGGCGCTCTGATGGTGGTGGTGGCAGCGCTGTGGTGATGGTGGTGCTACAGTGGAGGTGGTGCTGCTGCAGTGGTGGTGATGGTGCCGGTGGTGGCGTTGTGGTAATAGTGGTGCTGCAGTGGCGGTGCAGTGGCAGTGGTGCTCTCATGGTGGCGGTGGTGCTCTCATGGTGGAGGTGGTGCTCACCTGTTAGTGGTGGTGCGGTGGTGATAGTGGTGCTGTGGAGGTGACGCGGTAATGGTGCACTGGTGGTGGATTGCCGTGTCTTTTGCAGTGGTTATACAGTAAGATAAGCATTTAACCGTGTGTGTAGCTGTGTTTTTTCCTGTGTGTGCATTGTACCGTATTGAACAAACCTAGCATAATGAGAGCTTAATTCTCTGCCACGGCTAACATCAGTGGCGAATATCTGGACCGTCCCTGGGCCTTTCTTTGGTTGACTGAGCCTTAAATGAGTACCTGGTGCAGTGTGTAAACAAAGGTGGCCAGTCATAGCGCTGGCCACACCACCCAGCAGTCTGTGTGGCTACACAGCGCGAATCTTTGTTTCTCTGTTTCTACGTAGTTATTGAGTAACAAGGAGCGTTAATCTATGTGTTTGTGCATATCTACGTGCAGTCGTAACATTGTGCAAGTCATTTCGTTTACGTGAACACGTGGCTGTTGTACAACAGCAGTAGGCGCTTGTGTGATCGTCCCACATCGGTGTGGTTTTGCGGTTGTGTGGGTCGTCTCTCGTCAGGAGACCCCCTGCACGAGAACGGGGACGCGGTGGCGGAGCTGAAGGAGGAGGAGATTGCGCTGACGGCCGGGCCTGGCAAGCGCGCCAGCCTGCACGACCGCCCCACCGTGGCCAAGCAGAGCATCCAGCGCATCACGCTGCTCGGTGCGAGGCCGCCAGCCGAGAAACAATGCTCCCCGCTCACATTTTGTGTCATTTATCATTTTTTTTGTCTGGTCTCTCTTCCCCTCCAGCTTTTGTCCCTATTGTGCTCTCGCTCTCTGTGTCACGAGACGAGGAATTCATTAGGAATGCGCAGAGAGCGGCAGAGTCATCATCTCCCCTTGTTAGAGAACGGCCCGCGGAAGTGTATACAGTTGAATTGCAAAGTGTAAAGTGAGCGAATCATTGTGTTAACTATAATTAGTGTCAACTGAAAAACATGCATTCTTACGCTTGGGATTCGTTGCATCCATCACGAGTCTCAAGCCTCTAAGGCATTTCCGCCGAACCCATCGTAGAGTAGGTTATCCCCCTTCTCCTACCGCGACTGCAAACCGGTGGCCCCTGCCTATAGTTGCGCGCCACCATTCACCGATGGACTCGTCGTGCGTGCGCATGCGGTTTCCCGCGAGCAGGCAAGGGTCAGTTCGGCGAAGTTTACCTGGCCAAGGTGGTGGGGCTGACGCTGCCAGCAGCGGGAGGCAAGGAGGAGGAGCACGATGACGATGACGAGGATGCGGCAGCACCGGCGGCGGAGGCGGAGACGGTCGCCATGGTGAAGGCGCTGGGTTCACGCGACGAGCGCGCCCAGGCCGAGTTCCAGCGCGAGGTGGACCTGTTCGGCAAGGCGAGCCACGTGGCCGTCGCGCGGCTGCTCGCCGTCTGCAAGGAGCCTCTGCAGATGGTGCTGGAGTACACGGACTTGGTGAGTCGGTGCGGATGAGCGAGAGAGAGAGAGGAAGCAGTGTTGTCGGCTTCTAAACTAAACTATTTTTATTTTATCAGGTAAGGCCCACTGAGCTATGTAGCTCTTTTTCAGAAGCAACCTGGTCACAAATGATAGCTCAACAAAGTGGGTTTTATTGCGTGAAAAATTTGGAGGGATAAACCGGAGGACCCGGAGAAAAATCCACGCTACCACGGGGAGATCGCATGCAAGCTCCAAATATACAGGCATCAGGGACGGGATCGAATCCACAACCTCCTATATCCCATGCGAGGTCGTTAACATCTCTCCACCGTGGCCGAGTGACTCTCCGGCTCAGAGCGCGGAGCCGGAGACGTTGGTTCAAATTAAGGTTTCAACAGCCTGTGATTAAACTGTGTTCTCAGATCTGTGCTGCACTGATGACCTCAGCCCCGGACACCGATGACTGCACACAGAAAGAAAAAAACCCATCACATTAAATTTTGTTTCTACATTTAATGAATGTTCATCGCACGACAGTCAAAGCAGTATTTTTTTAATTTGGGAGCTGGACTTTAGCCAAATTAAGTGCAGAACCAAATTTAATGTGATGGCTCTTTTGTGCGCAGTCATTTGTGATCAGGCCGAGATCATCAACTCGCTTGGTACCGCCTTTTTTACTTGAACAAAAACGTGATGTATCTGACAGGATCTTCTGAAATCTATTTTGTTGTGAGATCAATACTCATCTCTTGTGACTTATAGTGGTATCATTTCTCCCCAAGCGTCCCCCGCCTTGCGCCGCCCTCGCCGCTCCAGCGAAAGTGGCACCGGCCGGTGTGTCAGCCATTCAGTTTGTATCCGCCTCTTCTCCCCTCTCCTTCCACCCTTCCGTTGTCACTCATTCTGGATGGTCACCATTCCACCTTGAGTTTATCATCTATTCGTTGCGTCCCAACAAGCGGGAGAGATGGCGACGGCTTAAACAGACTTTCGTCCAGCAGTTGATAGATCATGGCTGAAGAGGGCGATTTCAGTTACTGACATTCACTATTTATCCAGCGCACCTGATGTACTCCCGTGTAATGGTTCGATTTGTTCTTTTCTACTTCTGCTGAACCGTTATCTGCAACGGAATTAAAACGCTGGACTCCTTCGCTTGCTCGTGGGGTTTTTCTTTCCAGGGGGATCTGAAGCAGTACCTGAAGCTGTCCAGAGGCGACGACAAAGAGATCAAAATGAAGCCGCTCACCGCCCAGCAGAAGGTGGGAGTGCGGTTGACCTTGGCAGATGGGGGGGGGGCGGGGGTGGAGAGGGGGTGGCGGTTGCTCGGTTGAATGTCGATGGCACGTGTGTAACCCCTACGTTGTGAGCAGCGGGAGGGTGGTGCAACAACATGCGGTATTGTACCATACTTCTGTGCTTCTCACTTTCCCTAGCCCCCCACACCAACCAGCCTGATCTCTTGTGAATACAATAAATAATACGTACAGTACGTCCATTAACCAGCTCACCAGGATCTCATCACATCTGAGAAGCTAAGCAAGTTGGGCCTGGATAGTGCTTGGATGGGTGACCACCATGCATACCAGGTGTTGTAGGCTGCTGCATTACATGGTGGGCCCAGCAAAGGGCAGTGCAGAAAAATCTCTTGTTATACTGGACCTTTGCGCAATGGCGGAGCCAGGATTTTCAGGTAGGTGGGGCAACCCCTCCAGCAATGAAAATTTTTAGGAGTTGTTAGTAAGTAAGGACTTGTCCCTTGCTTTTTATTCGACGCGTGTGCTGCGATGGCACAGCCGTCGATCGAGGGTCGAATTCGAACCACGTTGTGTAATTGGCATCGCGCTCACTGAAGGTGAATGCCTTCTGCGCACAATTCTGTAAGTCATTTACAACTGCTTTGCCGTTACTTATTGCCAATTATGGACTCGGACTATTGTCCTATCATCTCATAGAGTCCCTGGCACGTAATAATATGCTACACAGTGGCAGTGGGGGTCGCAAAATGCAGATTTATTACTAATAAACCCCAATTATCCGATCTAAATTAGGGATTTCGATTGGATCATTGGGGGGGCATGTGCCACCCCCCCCACCCCACTGGCTCCGCCAGTGTCTCTACGCACCTGGGTTTCACCACCTTGCACTGACACACCCCACACAGCTTGAGAAGGGCAGGGTGGTGTGGGGGTCCCTTATCCGGTAGTGGATTGCCAGCAGGCTGAGCGGTGCGTGTACATGCCACCTAGGGATGGGGAAATTCCGCCGCTGGCCGAAGATCGTCACCAGCAGCAATATGAGCGGGACCCCATTCGCTATGACACACGCACCGTGTCTCCAGAGTACTGCCAACCGTTGACTTGTGTTGCTTTTTTTACACCGAGGATCATGATGGGTTGACTTACCTAAAGCTCTATTAACCCATTTTAACCATGTGTGATTGTATGGTCACGTCACACTGTCTTGTATGACAGCCATTAGGTTTGCCATTTAAATTAATCGAAAAGTTAATTGGGGTTACATTTCGGTGAATTTTGATTAATGCAGGGAGGCGCTTTGTTCTTCAACTTCTGGCTTGACCCCATGACCCCCTTTGCCTCCCTTCCCCCTCCTTCCCCCATGACCCCCGCGTGCCCCCCAGCTGAGCGTGTGTGTGCAGGTGGCGCAGGGCATGGTGCACCTGTCGAGCCAGCGCCTTGTGCACGGAGACCTGGCCGCGCGCAACTGCCTCGTGTCGTCCGACAACAGCATCAAGATCTCCTGCCCCGGCCTCAGCAGGGACGTCTACAGCAGGTCGGAATCGTCGTCGTCGTCATTGTTATCACCATCATCGTCGTTGACATCGTTGTCATCGTTGTCGTCATCGTCGTCATCATCGTCATTTCCATCTCTTGTTTGTTACTTACACCGCGCCTCCCATGCAGTGCGGAGCCCTTGTGAGCCGTGATGCCACCGCCGCGCCGTGGTGGCACAGGCCCAAAGGCTTCAAAAGCTTGGAGGAAAGAGAAAATGAGGGGAGAGAAAGCCTAAGTGGAGCAGTGCGAGGACAGAGGCAGAAAGAGAAGTGAGGTGACCTGCAGTGTGTGTGGTTGAGATTATACAGTGAGTGTCTGGTAGACGCAAGTCTTCAACATGGGTGGAGGAATCACTGAGTGATGATGATGACGATGGAAATACAGATGATGAGGAAGGAGATTATGTTTTGTCTTACGATGATGCTGACCCCGCTCCCTGCTGGACCCCAGACAAGTCCCATGTTGGTGCTGGTCAACCGCACGCAGCTCTTGGGTTTTCCTTCCGTTTTCTTTGTCAGTGCCTACGTTTGTAAGCCACATGTCCATAGCAGGTAACGCGCACTGATGGAAAACTTATTCAATCACCGGAGGGTGAATTGTCACAGACCCAGTACCTAGGCTGCGTGTCCCGTGATGTCCGACACGATTTGGAGCAATAAAAAGACTTTAAATTCATTCCGGCACTCGGTCATAGCACTGCGGTTGACATCGCCGCCATTGACTCTGCATTCGAATTTACGGCAGCCACAGTAACAGCGGCATCGCCGAAGCACTTATTGGCGACACGCCAGAAAGTCACTTTAAAGTCTCGTTTTTTTTTTCTTTTTTTTCTTTATGAAGCTTCTAAGCCCGTGTTGGGACAATCGTGGCTGGTCCACAGCCGAGGCACTGGGCTGTATCTACAAGATAAGAGCTGCGCGTGTCTGTTCCGCATTGTCTTCCCGTAATGCGGCTCCGACGCGCTCCGCACGGGGCCAGGAACGCTCGCGGTCGAGGCTGATAAAAAACACCGGCGGGGAAGTGCGTGGGCGGCGACGCCGTAAATCCCACGCAGATGCACCAAGAGAGCGAGAGAAAGAGCAAAGTATCGCACGCTCCGATGATTCTCACACTTGGTTGTTTATTGTTAGGGAGTGTTGGCGCTGCAGTTATTTATTATTAATATTACGCTTGTTGGCCCCCGGGAATGATTCATTGATTCTCAGGACCCTTTTTCAAGAGGGCCCTGCCACATTTTCACAGCAGGGAGAGATGATGCTGCTGTGCAATCTCAATCGAGTAATTTTCGGGTAATTTTGCAGCATTGGGATGTTTGGCCATTATCAGCTACAGTGTGTGTGTGTGTGTGTTTTTGTTTATGGGAGGAAATCGGAAAATCGAGAAAAAACCCATGCGGAACAGGGGGAGAACATAAAACACTCCTCCACACAAACGTGAGGTCAGGAATCGAACCCAGGTCCTTCTAACTGCAAGGCACTAGTGTTGCACTACGCTGCCACTCTGCCGGCCGGTCACTGGTGCGGTTAGCATTGTGTTCTATGGTTGTGCGACGTCATTGTTTATTGGTGGCATCGCTCGATCTCCGTGGCTGGGTGGCAGTTGTGGGCTCACCGGCGCAGGGCGTCCAAGTCACATTTGGAAGGACGCTGTTGAACAAGAACACTCGGCACATACGTCAACAAGTCTATGACCTCGTAGGGAAAAATATATAACAGGTGATGTTTTGGGCAATGACCTTCACAGCGCATAAATAAAAAGGCCATGGAGACAGAGTGGATAACAATAAGGGTTGGAGAATGCTACACACCGTGCGGTCTTATTAGAATCGCTGCTAAATTGGCTTTAGCTTAGTTACCTATGAGCGGCTATTGAGTAACAGACAATCGCTTCAACAATCACAAAGTGTATTATGAAATAACCTAATTTGTATTCCAAGCAAACGTATACAATGTGGCCGTCACATTGCATTATGTATAAACGCTATTCCGATGGATAGACTCGGCCAATCATCATCGGCATCACCCCACTGGAGTTGACAAAATGAGCACGGCCTTGTGGGACGTCAGTAAGTCGTTGATCCTTGGGTCCGAGCCAGTTTTGCAACAGACTTGAAGCAGTGATTCAAAGTGCCGACTGTGTGTGATCAGCATGGCGCATTCGTGATGGACGGGTCTCTTAACAGTGCGCAATAACAAATGTTCAGACTTTATATTTCTATGGAGAGAGATTTGGCCTTGCCATAGGAATGTTGAATTTGAATCATTGGCTCAAGGCCAACGTGAGAGAAGAGCACCACCCTCTGCTCTTTTGAGCGAGAGGACACCATAATTGTTGACACTAACGGTAATGTGAGATAAATAACAACAGCATGTGCATCTATGCGTGGCCCGGCCATCTGTGTATGCCGACATAAATCTGTCTCTGCGTGTGTGTGTGTGTGCGTGCGTGTGTGTGTGCGTGTGTGTACATGCGGTGCGGTGTGGTGGAGCAGCGGTTAGCGCACTGTGCGACGAACCTGACACCTCGAGTTGACTTCTCACTCATGGCCACCAACACCAGTGACAATTCTCTAAACCGGTCCGGGGCCTCCCCGAGGTCATCTCACCCTCAAATGAGTACCTAGTGTGAATTTTGACTTAAAACTTTCGTGACTGCAGGAATTAATATTCTTGGTTCTTTCGGTAAAGTCATGTAGATAGAAAAAAAAAGCAAAAACCCACGACGTTGCGATCGAAACGTCGTGGGTTTTTTTTCTATCTACGTGACTTTACCGAAAGAACCAAGAATATGAGTATCTAGTGGGGTGTGTAATAAACATCGCCACTGGGGAGACAAAGGTGGCCGGGCGTGTTCCAAGCCACCTACTCCCTTGTGTGCCTGTGACAGCACTTGTCCTGACAGTCCGGTCAAGGCCATACGGGGCATCTTTGTGTTTGGTCTGTGTGTGTGTGCACCTTGGTTTTCCCATTGCCCCATGTGTGCGTTGCCACTCGTACGTTCCTGCACCCAATGTCGTGTAACCCCCCCCCCCCCCCGCCGTACACGTGTCGTCGTGCCCCCCCCCCCCCCCACACGCGTGTGCGCAGCGAATACTTTGAGCACCGCCAGGCGCTGATCCCTCTGCGCTGGATGGCGCCGGAGGCGGTGGCGGAGGGCGACCTCTCCACAAAGTCGGACGTGTGGGCCGTGGGCGTGCTGCTGTGGGAGGTGTGCACCCTGGGCGAGCTGCCCTACGCCAAGCTCAAGGACGAGGAGGTCTTCCGAGGTTCGCCCGCCACGTCGTGCCCGCACTCGTTCACCGGGGGGGTGGGGGGTGGTGTCACGCCGCATTGCATGACAGTTCAGAGACAATACGTTTTTGCTCAAAATACAAAAACGTCGCAATCGAGCGGCGCTTCGAGCCCTTGTGTGCGAACGACACAACACTCGTACATATTTAATTATTTTATTTAAGGCCAGGTCGAAGCAACGAGATGAATCTATCTCATTTACAAGGGTGACCTGGGGGTTAATAAAGGGAGCAGCAATTACAGGAATATAAAAGAGCAAAACAGCACACCTGCTGACTTGAGTGCCGGTGGGGGGGGGCACGGCTGCGTTTTCTCTTCCTTTAGTTTGCCCTCCAGGATATATTCCAGTAGCTCTCCTGTGTAATGGGATGAACCATTCAACAACGACGCTCCCATTTGTAACTCTCACAGAAAGCACTGTGATATCACGCTAATCTGGATAACGGCATCGGAAAGAGGACATCACAGAACTACTTCTGAGGTCCTTGCAATTTCCTCTTAACTACAGTGGGTGGTGTTGGCGGCTTGACTTCTCGCGTGCCCTGCTGTGGGCAGGTGTTCACTTCATGGCAATAAAACCGAACGCATTTTAGTCCTTGGAGCTAATGTAGACCAAACTGGGAGAAGACCAACGTCCCAGCAGTCATTGGTGACTGGGCTTAATCACATAGGCTGGTGAAACCTGGATTCGAACCTTGCCCTGTCAGTGTTGCCGGCTCGGTGAAGCCCACCCAACCACCTCAAGGCACACTCTCTCTTACCTGAGCACGTCCGGCTATTTGGTTCGAGCGGTACTTTTCTCCGCCGTGTGTAAAGTGCATCGGCTTAATACCGCAGGACCGAGCAGCAATCACGCACTACACACTCCACGCTTCTGGCTGTTCAGCAGAGCGCAGTGGGAGACGTGGGGTGGGGGGACGGGGAGTGGGGGACAGGGGGTGTGGAACGGGGGGACGGAGGAGGCGAGGGGGGGGCGTGGGGACGTGGGGACGTGGGGACGTGGGCTTGAGGGACGTGGTTCTCGTCAGGGCCACCGTGTTTTCTCCGTCCATGGCGGCGTCGGCCCAGGCGGCGCGAGGGGGCGAGACACCCTCAGGAAATGTTGTCAGAGCGAAACACAGCGCAGCTAAATAGAGGCTTGTAGAGTATTGACCGGCGCTGCTGCGGCTGCTGTGGCTGCTGGACTGCCCCCATCCAATTGCTCGCTCGCCATCTCGCCCCATTTGCTCGGAGCTGTGCAGTGTGTGGATTAAAGGCTGATTGGTTTTTTGTTGCTCGTGTCAGCCCGGAGAGTCTGTGAAAATGCCTGGACAAGAGTGCGCCATCTCTCTCTCTCTCGCTCTGTCCCTCGTTAAATTTCCCCACCATCAGTGGGAGGCTTCTGCTGACGAAGGGAATGTTGTGCGGAGGTCTCGTGGTGAATGTCAGCGCGAGCCACTTGGTTGGGTTCCCACCGCTGCCTGACGGTGTGCCTGTAGAGAATCGCAGAGGCGTGCCATCTGCTGCCAAACAGGATTTCAAGACCAGCTGACGTCCTTTGCTGTAGTCGCCTGCTGTGTGCCAGTGACCCAGGGCACATCTCAAAATAAAAAATGTCCTGCCCAATGTGGTCAAGTATGGTCAATTAACCACCCCCTCTCGCACCCCTCCATGACCCACATGGTAGAGGGAGGCCCTAATCCAGAAGTGGGTTGGCAGTTACATTTGACCCAGCTGGAAATTGAATAACACGTTAAATCATGAAGGTTTACAAAGCGTACGTATCGTGGGGTGGTGTATTTAAGACTCGGTGTAGTGAATGGAGTCTGCTGGCAATGTGGGAAAGCCTGCTTTTTTCTAGATTTGAAGTTTTCATGACTGCAAGGATCCATACTCTTTGGTTCTTTTGGTAAAGTCACGTAGGTGAAAAAATTAAATAAAATTAAATACAAATAAAAATAAGAATAAAAAAATAGAAATAACTAAATTGTAGAAGATGGACATTTTAATTGTTTTTATTATTTTCAACTTCGGGTGAAATTGTTGACTCATTAGCTCTGTCTTTGTAGCAGGGTCGGCAGTTTTGGGTCACAATAACTCTCTTGAAGATGACGGAATTTACACAGAACATTGGTGTAACGTTGCATCACTATTGGGGACCTACTTTACCCTAAGGGAAACCGACCAAATTGATCAAAGGGTTGCTCAAAAAAACTTGGCGATTAAACACGGCAGCACTTGTGGACTAAGGCAATTGATGTCATTGCTTATGACGTCCCGATATGTTATTGCGCGTAATGTCGTCTCGTTGTGTGGCTCGGAGGGTAACATTGTTTTTGCTAATTCTAAACCTACGAGGACGACCGAGCTTGTTTTGGAAGCGTTAAACAGAATCCGCGCACATGCAGGATTTTTCATTGTTTTGTTTGGGAAAGCCTCCAGGAAAGGTCCCGGCTGAGGTCGCGTCGCACGTCTCTCACTCTGCGCTGCCTCTCCGCTTCCCCAGCCGTGCAGTCGGGCTCGCTGAAGCCGCTGTCCACCAAGGCGTGCCCTGCGCACGTGTCCAAGCTCCTGCAGCGCTGCCTGGCGCCCAGCCCGCGCGACCGCCCCTCCTTCCCGGACGTCCTCCACGACCTGAGCAGCGTGCAGCTCGACACCAGCGTCTAGCCGGGCATGCGGCCGCACCGCCCCTCCGGCCACGCTGCTCCCACTCCCCCTCCGTGTCGGGAGACAGGTGAGAGGAAGCAAAACAAAGTAATCAAAACAACCCACAGTTATCTCATCACGATGTTTTACTCTTCCTGTACGTGGCGACGGGCGCCACGAGGAAGAAACGGTTCGAGATAAAACCGTCGAGATTGAAAAAACACAAACGCAACAAAAACTTGAAAAGAAACTTGTACAAAAACTCTTGCTCCTGAAGGAACGTGTGCGCCGTCGCGAGGACCATGAGGCCGGGCTGGTCGGCGGAGCGGGCTGCGCGGGCAGGCGCCGAACAGCGTTACGGCTCGACGCCATGGCGGTCCGTTGTCTCCACGTTCGTGGCTGCTGGGCACTCGTGACGACGCGCGCGTCGCACAACGCCGCGCGCTCGATGCGGGCGCGTGGCGAACTGGCGGCGCTGCGACGGTGGCGCCACCATGCAGCTGGAGGGGGGGGCCCCTCTCCTCCTCCTGTTTACATCTGGCGCGGAAAATCTACGCTTGAAGTTTGTATTCATCGACCCAGCGGCTGTGCTCACCAGCCGGCCTTCCACCACCGCTGTTGCACCGATAAAACCTTCCTCAACGTTGCCTAAAAACGGTTCACTGCAAACATGAAATGAAAACTCTTTTTGTATGATTTTATTTTTTTAAGCTGTATTGTAGCCTGCACGTGGAAGAGTTGGAATGTGAGACAGCATTGAGTTGTAGGGCTCTTTTGTCAATCCGGTTCACTCTTTCAGCTAAATGAGGCATCCTCGTTTGTGACACTGGTACTCACTCACCACCCGCGACACTTGCCCACCATCTCTCACACTCGCCTGCTATCTTAAAGACAAAGATCCCCCGTATAGCCTTAATAGACTGTTGGGGCAAGTGCCGTTAGCATATGAAGGCCGACACGGTATACGAGGGGCCGCCTTTAACTCCCCAGTGCTGATTTTCACCCACCACACCAGATGATTATTTAAGGCTGAGTCGATCTAGAAGAGGCCCAGGACTGGTTCATATTATCATCACTGGTATTGGCCGTGATCGAGGATCGAACTCGGGTTGCCGCGTTACCTGCTGCACGACCACTAACCCACTGTCTTAAACGCTCTGCATCTCACACACACCCACCACCTCACACAAAGATCCCCCGTATAGCCTTAACAGACTGTAGGGGCAAGTGCTGTTAGCGAGCACCTATGAAGGCCGGAACGGTACACGAGGGGGTGGGTGGCCAGCACCACGCCCGACTGCCTTTTTCTCCCCAGTGTCGATGTTTACACACCGCACCAGGTACTCATTTGAGGCTGAGTCGACCTAGGGGAGGCCCAGGACCCGTTCAGATAATCGTCACTGGTGTTGGCCGTGAATCAAACCCGGGTCGCTGGGTTTATAGCGCAGCGTAGCGCTAACCACTACACTACCGCTCCCCACATTCTCACACCCACCATCTCGCACTCCCCCACCATCTCACACTCCCCCACCATCTCGCACACTCACCGTCTCACACACCCACCATCTCCTACACTCACCATCTCACACAATCGCCCACCATCTGACACACTTGTCCGCTGCCTTAAATACTTGCCATTCCTCACACTCGCCATCTGACACGCTCATCCTGAGGCCACAATGCACTGTGCCCGTGAGCAGAGGCAATTGCTGGCATTTTAAACCAAAACACCGCACGGAGGAATTGTGCTTCTCCCGCATTGTGTTGGCAGCGCGATATCCTCACCGCGAAGAGATGCAAAACACGCGTCAAAGACTTTATACCAAGCGTTTTATGTAGAGCATGTGTTAAAGTTAGCAGCATTATATTTAAACAGCAGAATTAAGCTTCTAACACTAAGCATTGCAACATCTCAGGCTTTCAGCATTGCCCTGGCGGTGGAGGCAATGTGGAAAATGGGAAACGCAAAGAGACGCCGAGATTTCTGAGCGTCTGGAGTCTTTAAACCCACCCTTTATGACGATTTCCATTTATTTTATGACGTATATACAACAACAACAACAAAAATAGAAATGTTACTATTGTTGCTGTACGACGATTGTACCGCTTGTTGACCCCGAGCGCTGGCTGATCGGATGGTGGTGGGTGCCTTGGTTTACGAACTCGCCAGCGATGCCGTCGAATCTTTACGAGCGCGTCTGGGCCTGGCGCTGCGTGCGCTGCGCGTTTGGGCTGGCGGGAGTGGGAAGTGTCGTGGTCTGGGCGAGCAGCCATCGTCTCGTCACCTCGTCGCGCGCGTGATTGCCTGAGAGGAGTGACCCGGGGCGAGCGAGAGAGATTCGTGCGAAGTTGTGATTTTTTACGATTTTGCCTGGTCTCTCGCGCACCTTAACACGTTATATCTGGCGACTGCCTGCTGGCCGGACCCCCCGTGTGACAGATGGCACCTGAGGCGGCGGTGGCTCTCGCCGACGTCTGCAGGTGCCGTTTCGCTGGCCCAAGCGCGCTCGCTTTCCTGTCTCGAGCCGCGACTCGGGCGAGCGACGAGTCTCGTGTCACCGTGGTATCGCGAGTGAATTGGGTGCGAGAGACGTTCACTCTAATGACACGAGGTCCAATTCTCATGGCTGGCGTCGTGCCCCCCCGCATGCCCTGCCGAGTGGGGCAGCCTGGCCGTGGTGAGAACTGGTAACTTGGTGCTTTGTGGACCTGACTTTGAATTGAGTGGTCCACCCGTGTGAGGCTTGCTGGTGCGGTGGCGACACCTACAGGATAGATGTGGGTTTGTGATGTCTATAAACGCGTATCTGGGCCGGTGAGGCCTCTTGGCTCAGCACGCTGATGTGGCATTGAGAGGTGACAAAAACGTGCCTTCTCTCTGTCTTCATCTTGTAGAGCTCAACATTTTAGTTTTTTAGTACTGTACTTGTATAGACTTTTTCTTAAAATATGAATTGTCAAGTTTTTACCAAGTATGAAGATAATCAAAAAGCATCTTATGTTCATGTCATCAAAATGTTAACTTTTTAAATGATTTAATACATCAACGATGCTTGTCCCTCCCCCCCCCCCCCCCCCCCATTGCATCAGCCCTTGCTCCACGCGATGACTATGGTACGCTGCGCGGTATAGTTGTCACGCTCGTTATGATATTACTTTTGTACGGCACACACTACGCATCAAGGTACGTTATGCGATCCAGCAGGCAGGGACACTGTACGCTATGCGCTCCAAATAGCAAGTTAATGCCGTGCACGCAAGGTGGCTGAAGCGATCGTACCGGGCTGGATGTCACCGGTGGCAAACGCCGTGGCGCCAGTTTAAAGCAGGCCAGAAATTCCACCCCGGGCTTTCCATTCTCAGGTGATTACGCGTGCAGGTGGATTCATTGAGTCACTGGAACGCGATGGGAATGGCTTCTTCATCACCGATTTGTCCATGACGCTGGCGCAACGCCGCAGTGCATGCAGCTTCCCAGGCACATTGGTCTGGTGGAGACTCGTTATCTTCAGGTATATCTCGATTCATCGATTTAAAAACAAATTTTGGTATGCTCACGATGGATGTCTAATCGTCTGTGTGAGAATCCATTATAGTGCCCACAGTACTGTTTGGATCTATGTAGCGTCTGAATGCCGCCACATTTCGCGACGCTGTACAAAAATGTTGGGCGTGTTTTGTAGAGAAGGGAGCAAAAGTAAGGTTTGGAGCCTGGATTTGAACAGGGCGAGGCAAACCACAGCACGGATTGCTTGCGGAGGGTTATGGGATCAGCAGAGTAGAATGAGCGAACTAGGCACATTTCAAATTATGCAAGTTACGTTTTGTAAAAGGTGAGGTGGAGCGTCTTGCCTCATCAAACTGCAGCCACTGGACGTCACCGAGTGAGGAACAGTCTGTTAGTCCAGAAATTGGAGATTATATAAATGCATTGGCAAATTATTTGATAATCCACTCATTTCAAATGGTTACCACATTTCTCTGTTATTGGTACCGACAAGTTAAATATCTGGCCTGGGCTCATCGACCAAATGGAATTATGGCAAGAAATTATACCAACTCCATGCCCCCCCTCACCTCGGTAAACTTTCAATGTCTGTGTGGCGCTGGAGGGAGAGATGAGAAGGAAAACTCGGTGTGTTAGAGAAAGCACAGTCTTTGTTATTTTTTTTAGCATGGAATGGAAGTACTGTTCTGTAGTTTGTTTTATAAAAAAAAATGTGTTTGCATGAATTTGTCTTGCCAAGGAAACTTGTAATGTGTTTAATAACGAGGCCGTGCCTCGCACAAAAAAAAAACTGAAGGAATAGTGGCATCGTTGCTAAAAGTTTTTTTTGGGCTGCCATATACCTTTTGCATAGGTGAACATGAGGGATGATGTCGTTTATGAAGTTCAACTGCAGAAAATTTCCCGTTTCACATATGAAGAGAGGGCAGCTGCCCAAATAGTTTTGATATCCATGTTTTTATAAAGTTGCAGTATTGTTAGCAGTGTAACCCAGAGGGGGACATAGGGGGGGAAAGAGCTTTTGAATTCTGAAAACTACTCAAACCTAAATTTCGATTTAAAGCTTTCGTGACTGCAGGGATTCATCTTCTTTGTTCTTTCGATAAAGTCACGTAGAAGGGAAGTAATAAAATAATAAAAAGAAAACATAATAAAATAATTCTCACGACGTTTCGGCCACAACGCAAGCAGCCACGCATTTCACAATTAGCACTATTCGCATTCCTGCATTTCCCATAAATATGCTAAATATGCTAAATTCCTCCTCTTCCTCCTCCCTCACAGCTTAAATAGACACTCCAAGCCTAAGACGTGTCATTTAGACTCGGTCTTATCGACAGACATGTTCTTCACCTGAGGACGGCTTGCTTGCGTTGTGGCCGAAACGTCGTGAGAATTATTTTATTATGTTTTATTTTTATTATTTTATTACTTCCCTTCTACGTGACTTTACCGAAAGAATCAAGAAGACTACTCAAACCGTCCCAATTCAATTGCATGGTGTCTTTCCATCGCACACACTTCCTGCAATAGGAATGTGGAATTTACACCACTGGTTCAGGCCCGCGTTGAGCAGGAATACGGCGCGTTGACTTTTTATTATTTGGCCCCATCGCCTTTCCTGACGTGAGCTTGTGCTTTACGTGAACCCCGTGTCTTCAGGACTTGTGAAACTTACGTTCTGTGTCACCAGGAGCAATTACCACAAGACGTCTCCTGTAAACGGTACTTTGCAGAGTTTCAAAATGAGAAAATCATAGTCATGTTTACTTTGTACAGTGTCTTCACAATATCCACTCTGGATTTTTATGTTTATTAAAACACATGCTTAAATCTTCACAGACCTGCGTAGCATAGCTTGAGATCATGTTTTTCTATTGTAACTTGTTTTAACAAAATAAAAAATGAGTAAACACCACTGCGTGAGTGCTTCACTTTCACTCGGAACGCACACTCCAGATGTTGCTGTCAATAATGGTCACTCAGCAAATAAAGAATAAACACTTTCGTTTGGTGTTTTCGGCTTTTCGTATTGCACCTGCGATTAGCACGGTTGTTTACGTGCGGTGCGAAAGAAGTCCATACATACGGCAGAGATGCTATCACGAAGGTTGTACGGTTAGTTAGCCCTTGTAACTTTTACAGAATAATTCCTTCTACAGGACTGGGTTACGGTGGCTTAAAAATCCCAGACAGCACCGACAATGAGTTCCACGTGCTTTGGCCGGACACGGAAACAATGTCGAGGCAAAAACTTGTGGTATCTGCGTGGGATTTTTGGGCCATGATGTGAAATCAGCTCCATAAAAATAAACCAATGTTAGTGTGAAACTTCCTGCATAAATTGGCCTCTTGCTGGGAAAGCTCGGTGCGAGGATCATTATGAATGGTGTCTTCACTGAATATACTGTACAGGTATTCAAAACATCTGGAGGTTTTGCGCACCAATCTAGAATCTAGAGCGGTCATGCGTTCTCAGTCTCTAGTCCGCCCAGGGTCGCTAGTCGACTGGAATCGGCATGTGACCAGAAGTATACTGGATGTGGTGAGCCGGGTGCAGAAATGTATTTGGTTCGACCCAACTGGCATTGAGGCCTCTGGAAAAATCACACGGCTTTTACAACGGATGACTTTGCATACGCAAGGGCTTGCGTGCGAGAAGCATTATCAGAAATGAACCATCTTCTTGGTTCTTTCGGTAAAGTCACTTAGAAGGGAAAAAATAAAATAATAAAAATAAAACATAATAAAATAATTCTCACGACGTTTCGGCCACAACGCAAGCAGCCGTCCTCAGGTGAAGAACAGGTCTGTCGGAAAGACAGCGTCTGAAATGAACCATTCTCCATCACTGAGGTACCCCCCCCCCTCTCTCACTGCTCACTCCGCGTTCATTCGCTTCCCTTGTGGAAATCGCGGGGGGCTCTGTCTGGCGTTGTCACAGTCCTTCCCCCGTGCTGATGTTGGTGTCGGCTTACATGGAGGTGGTTGATGAGCAACGCGTCTCATCACGTCGGGGGTAGCCGAGTGTTGTTGTATCGCTGTGACCGATGCCTGCTTCGTAATTGTGAATCGGGTATTGTGCAATGCCCTACCGTTTTCAAACATTTCCATTTGTGCGTTAAAGCATCCGCATCTCCTGCTGCTGCTGCCATCAGCGTTCGTGTGGCGAATGCGGTTCCAGAGGCTTCACACAAGATCCATGCTGGGGATCTTCTAGTTGGGTCTTTCACGATGATGAGGAGGAGGTGTTTGTGGCTCGTAGTCCTTTCGGTTTTCAGAGCAACAACAGCAACATCGTCATCATCAAGGTAGAAGTGGCATTGTTGAATGTTAAGTACGTGGGTCCAGAAGGTTTGCGGGTGGTGGTGGTTGAGGGACATTATTGAGATATCCCCGTGCGCTATGAGCCAGTCCAGGGGTCAGCAACCAAACATTACAATAGCAGCAAATGTTTTCGAATTCAGTAAAAAAATAAAACTCAATATTTCAAGATACCGCAATGCACTGCGTGGTGAATACGAGACGGTGGTGGTCCTTAACCCATACCTGCCAACCCCTTATCAGTGCCCTGCCTTATTACAGACCAATTCAGACCTTATTGGTCACCCCGTACCCCTTATACATCTCAACGTTCATCCTACAAAGTCCCATCACAAGGCAGAGAAACGCAAACAAATAGACAATTATGTTTGCTCGTATTGAAACGGCTGTACGCGGTATGGACCTGAAAACTCAATTTCCCCCTACAATAATACACGGGGCAAAAGCGTTTGTTTTGACGGCTGTGTTTGTGTTCATCATTAGCAGTCCTCAATGAGCCGCATGCGATTTAAAGCTTTCGTGACTGCAGGGATTCATCTTCTTGGTTCTTTCGGTAAAGTCACGTAGAAGGGAAATAATAAAATAATAAAAATGAAACATAATATAAAATAATTTTCACGACGTTTCGGCTGCTTGCGTTGTGGCCGAAACGTCGTGAGAATTGCATTTTATGATGTTTTATTTATATTATTTTATTATTTCCCTTCTACGTGACTTTACCGAAAGAACCAAGGAGATGAGCCGCATGCGGCTTCTGAGTCCGCGGGTTACCGACCGACCGACCGCCCTCTTCACCCGACGTCTGCCGACGTTGGTGGTGGTTGAGTGGGGGGAGTGGAAGCGGCTGGGGGAGCAGCCCCCCCCCCCGTCTGGGGGAGCAGCCCCCCCCCCGTCTGGGGGAGGCCTACTCCCCCCGTCTGGGGGAGTAGCCCCCCCCCCCGTCTGGGGGAGCCGCCCCCCCCCCTTCTGGGGGAGGCCCCCCCCCCCGTCTGGGGGAGCAGCCCCCCCCCCCGTCTGGGGGAGCAGCCCCCCCCCCCGTCTGGGGGAGCAGCCCCCCCCCCGTCTGGGGGAGCAGCCCCCCCCCCCCCCCCCCCCCCCGCCTGGGGGAGCAGCCCCCCCCCGTCTGGGGGAGCAGCCCCCCCCGCCTGGGGGAGCAGCCCCCCCCCCGTCTGGGGGAGCAGCCCCCCCCCCGCCTGGGGGAGCAGCCCCCCCCCCCGTCTGGGGGAGCAGCCCCCCCCCGCCTGGGGGAGCAGCCCCCCCCCCCGTCTGGAGGAGTAGCCCCCCCCCCCCCCCCCCCCGTCTGGGGGAGCCCCCACCCCCCGGTCTGGTGGCGTCACTCTCCCCCACAGCACCACCACGGCAGCAGCAGCACCACGGGGATGCCCAGGGCCGGCATGGCACGGCGCTTCTCGTGAAGGCAACCCAAGCGCCGCGCCGCCTCACGGAGTGGGGATCCATAGCGGCGAGTTAAAGTTGCGTTCGTTGTTGTCAGAGGAGGTGGAGAGGTGGTGGCGACGACGCGGCCGGTGCTGAATCCATGGACACTCGTCGGACGAGACGCGGCCCGGGTAAACGAAAGTCGCGTTGTTATGATGATTCTTGTTGTTGTTATTGTTTATTTCCCACACGCAGAGACGACCCCCGCGTTACTTAGTCGCCGCGTCGCTCTTGCCACGTCGTCCTGTGAGTTTATCTGCCTTGGAGACTTGGACTCGGCCAGCCCCGGGCCGGTGGTGATTGTTCCCCTGCCGCCTCCGTCGCGCCTCTTGTGGGGCAGCGCCGCTAGGCAAGGTCGGTGTCTCCGATGGGAGTAGGCCCAGAATCCCGAGAGACGCCGTTCCCCTCAGCGACGGAGGCACATTTTACAACATAATAATTAACGACTCTGTTACAGTATTAATGATCGTTAATGTTAATTCGCACGGCGACACGAGCCGTGTACGGCTCGGCACTTGGGGGTCAATGAGGCGGTTTTAAGTGTTGGGTTCGCGTTGTAAATGTACTGCGGTTACGATGCGAATTCTAGGGATTGCAAGGGGTTGGCGTTTGGTTGTATATATTTAAAAAAATACCGTAATTTTAATTTAGTTTGTCGGTTGTCATTTTGAGGGAAAGGTGCGAGTAATTTGAGACTCATCATTACAATCGCCCACAACGTTCACGAGTGTAAACACGGGCGGTCTGGCGAATTACCCGAAGGTTTGAGGCGTTAAAGCCCCCGGGTTACGTTACACCAGCACCGGGTTTCGATAAGAGGCGCAACGCCTGGGTCTCTCATGTGCAACCCGCACGGGTTTCGGTTCTAAAGCCCCAGGGGTTTCACGTTCAACTTCCAGAGATGCTGCTGTACTAAATCTGCAGGGGTTCATGCGTAAGTCTCATACCTGTCATACATCATTGCATACCCTTCAACGACTTATCCGTGCCCTATCTTATTACAGACTAAATCAGACCTTATTGGTCACCCTGTGCCCCTTAATCAATCTCAACGTGCATCTTACAAAGTCCCATCACAAGGAAGAGAAACACAAACAAATAGACACCACTAGTACCAAAATATGGCAAAGGAGGTCCCATGATGTAGATGCTCACCCCGAGCTCTCATTACTCTGATAGTGGCATTGTCTTTGTGCTGTACGCCTTTTGGAGTCCTCTGGTCTAACACCGTATTGAGACGAGGCTCAAAAGAAAGCTGTCTCTGTTGTGGACCAATAAGTTTCAAAGACAATTCATATATTATCAAGAGCATGTTTTTTGTTTGCATTCTTACCACAGGTATTGTGGTTAATGCAGACCTGATTCCTTGTAAAAGGTTTCTGTTTGGTGTTTTAACATCTTAAAAACCTGTTTTATTGCCGGAAATAAGGGGAAAACCTATTCTCACCACTAGTACACTCACCACTAGTACACTCACCACCACTACACTCACCACCGCTACACTCACCACTAGTACACTCACCACTAGTACACTCACCACCACTACACTCACCACTAGTACACTCACCACTAGTACACTCACCACCACTACACTCACCACTAGTACACTCACCACTAGTACACTCACCACTAGTACACTCACCACTAGTACACTCACCACTAGTACACTCACCACTAGTACACTCACCACTAGTACACTCACCACTAGTACACTCACCACTAGTACACTCACCACTAGTACACTCACCACTAGTACACTCACCACTAGTACACTCACCACTAGTACACTCACCACTAGTACACTCACCACTAGTACACTCACCACTAGTACACTCACCACTAGTACACTCACCACTAGTACACTCACCACTAGTACACTCACCACCACTACACTCACCACTAGTACACTCACCACTAGTACACTCACCACCACTACACTCACCACTAGTACACTCACCACTAGTACACTCACCACTAGTACACTCACCACTAGTACACTCACCACCACTACACTCACCACTAGTACACTCACCACTAGTACACTCACCACCACTACACTCACCACTAGTACACTCACCACTAGTACACTCACCACTAGTACACTCACCACCACTACACTCACCACTAGTACACTCACCACTAGTACACTCACCACCACTACACTCACCACTAGTACACTCACCACTAGTACACTCACCACTAGTACACTCACCACCACTACACTCACCACTAGTACACTCACCACTAGTACACTCACCACTAGTACACTCACCACCACTACACTCACCACTAGTACACTCACCACTAGTACACTCACCACCACTACACTCACCACTAGTACACTCACCACTAGTACACTCACCACTAGTACACTCACCACCACTACACTCACCACTAGTACACTCACCACTAGTACACTCACCACCACTACACTCACCACTAGTACACTCACCACTAGTACACTCACCACTAGTACACTCACCACCACTACACTCACCACTAGTACACTCACCACCACTACACTCACCACTAGTACACTCACCACTAGTACACTCACCACCACTACACTCACCACTAGTACACTCACCACTAGTACACTCACCACTACATACCTGTCAACCCCTTATCAGTACCCTACCTTATTACAAACCGATTCAGACCTTATTGATCACCCCGTGCCCTTATCAATCTCAACGTTCATCCTACAAAGTCCCATCACAAGGGAGAGAAACACAAACAAATAGACAATTATTTTTGCCCGTATTGAAACGGCTGTACGCCGTATGGACCTGAAAACTAAATTTCCCTGTACAAGAATACGGTGTAAACCGTTTAGATTGACAGCTATTCATCCTGTACATACAGTAGTCGAATGGTCACCGCCACGGGTGAACAGAGGCAGCTTTGTCGCTGTGTTTACGCCACGTCATCGACCTTTGGTACTTGAACCCTGTTCACTGCGGAGCGTTTCGGCGCACTCTTACAATGGTATGCACTGTTCGGCACTTAAGTAGTCACCGGTGTCTTTGGGCGTTGGGTTTTGTCCTCCAAACTTAGCCCAGTTCGGCTTTTGAAAGCAATTTCTCACTTTTGAGTGCTGCGCCCTCAAAAATGTGGATGATAAATTGATTACCGTACCGCGTGTTGCGGGCGAGGGTTATCTTTGCGTGCAGGCACCGTGCACGAACGATGCTGTGCTGATAGCAATAAGCTGTTTGCTTAAGTTAGAAATGTTCGGGCACACGTTGGCACGTGATATCGCACCGATCAGTCGATTAAAATACATTATTTTGGTCACGATGTAATTGGTCATTGTCACCCTGCAATCACTAGAAGCGGTACACACACGACAGTGGTAAATATGAGTCATTTCAAGAATGGAAAGCTTGAATAATATCACTTCTTCTTGGTTCTTTCGGTAAAGTCACGTAGAAGGGAAGTAATAAAATAATAAAAATAAAACATAATAAAACAATTCTCACGACGTTTCGGCCACAACGCAAGCAGCCGTCCTCAGGTGAAAACCAGGTCCGTCGAGGCGACAGAGTCTGAATGAAACAGCACACGAGCTTGGAGCATATATATAAGCTGGGCGCATTGACAAGGGAATTTGCATATCAAAAGGAATTTAGCATATTTATGGGAAATGCAGGAATGTGATTAGTACTGCATATGCATGTGAATTATGCAGGATTAACAGCATCAAAGGGAGCTGCAGTTACTGCTGCTGCTGCAGTTGCTGCTGCTGCTGCAGTTGCTGCTGCTGCTGTTACTGCTGCTGCTGCACTTGCTGCTGCTGCTGCAGTTGCTGCCTTATCCATTTTAATATAACACTATGTATTATTCTACCCACCCTAATGTGTATCACACTGCTATATGTTTACTATACAATTACGACACCATACATTACTCTGCACACTGCACCATGCCAGTGAGTGGAACGCGGTCTGAAAGTCACCGTAAACGTGAACACAATCAGTTAAGATCCGAAATGGTTTATTACGTCCTTCCAATGATTGCTAAGCCAGAATCCATCTTCTCGGTTGAAATTGTCTCTGTGTTTGTATATGTGGATCGCCTCATGAACGAATCTCTCATGATAGCCAGATGGCTTGCAGAGAACCTCTGTCTTGGAGAAGTCAATATCATGTGAGCCCACTGACTTTACCGAAAGAACCAAGAAGATGAATCCCTGCAGTCACGAAAGCTTTAAATCGAAATTTAATATCACTTCATTGAATTGCGTTGAAGGTGAATAAATCCATGCATGCCCATTCCATTGAGTCAAGTATTTTTTTAAACAGGGACTTGGGATGATCTTTGCTCAGTGAAGGCAATTGACTCGATTTAACTTTATTTAACGCTAAAGAACTGCCAGGATTAAATCTACCGTGAATACACGGGTCTATGTTAAATCAAATGGGCACGTCTCGTGGCAGATCTGCCCTCTACTCTTCTTCACGAGTGCAATTTCAGAGAAAATCCGACATGTAATTACGGAAACACCAACCAGTCCATCGAAAATTCAACGCAGCTATAAAAGCAATCCCTTTCACATTAACCGAAGCCATTTCGTGACCAAATAATCTGGAAATAGACGTGTAAGTTGCTATTCATCTAGCCACATTGCAATGTAGTGAAAGCAATTGACTGCTGATTGGTGCTTTTCCAGCGATGAATTGGGACTTGGAAGGCGAGATGGTGGGAGACGAGCTGGCAGAAGACGAGGTGGCCAGAGGTGAGGTAGCCGGAGACGAGATGGCTGAAGATGAGGTGGCGGGGATGCAGGACCTGGAGGCTCCGCTGACTAAAGCGCCACACGCTGTGCCAGTGGTGCTGGCCGGGGAGGGACACATGTTCTCTTTGGACGAGCAGGCCCTGGAGGACACCCTGCTCAAGAAGAACTTGCGTGACAAACCTGTCGTCGTCATCTCAGTGGCTGGGGCCTTCCGAAAGGGCAAGTCCTTCCTGCTGGACTTCATGCTGCGCTACATGTACAGCAAGGTGAGGGAGGGATGAATGAAAAATGCTCCGTGGTGCACTCAGTTACGTGGATTAGCTTTCCCTGCCGCATCTGTTGGGGATTTAAAAAAAAAGCATGATCCAAATTGTGGCTGATGAAGGTGACCTCGTTTAGTTGAGATGAAATTTGTTTATGGATGGCAAAGGGTCGCATTCCGCGAGGGATTATCCCAACTGGTCATGTTGAACTGGTTTCGTAAAAGGGAAAAACCCTTAAATTGTACATAAGCTCATTATTGTGCAAGAGGGAAGGGAACTGCATTCTCTCTGCTCATATTACCAGTTACCATTATTTCTGGTGATAGAAATGCTAGTTGCCTAGCTGGCCAGGCAGCTCGGGGGGATGATACCTTGTCAAAGACACGTAAAAATAGAAATTATTACATTCACAATTGTTCGGTCACGGATTCGGAGGCGGCAGCCGAGTCGGGGAGGTTTCGGCCACCCACAATTCATTTGGGTTCGCAAGTGTAGCGAGTTTATGGTCTCAGCTTGGTGACCAACGACTGCACAAAATAACATCATTTTTTTTTACTTAATTTAATGTATTGCAAATGCAAGAATAAAAACCTTGCTTCGTTATGCAAATAATATTTTTTAGGGTATATAAGGATGCGCCATCTCGTACAGAGATATGAGGCCAATTGAGTCTAGTCCACCTTAGCCTTCTCATCACACAACATCGATAGCACAATTGGAATATGAGTTGGCGTTAAAAACTAAAATGCGATTGAACATTACGAATTTACAAGTACTTATTGCTGTTATTGTCCCCATATTCAATCCTGACTGTGCTCTCGGTGTCAGAAAACGAAGCATCAATTCAGACCTCTCACAGAGCAATGCAACCCTGTGTGTTAGACAACGGCCCACAGAAGTGAATAGCACAGAGCTACAGCGGAGATTCCTTCAGTTGACCTCTGATCCACATAGTGGGATAGTTTAGGGGGCGGCACTTTTCACACCAGTTTTGTATATGATAATATTCGTAGCACTACAGTCGAATCAATATTTAAAGCTCAGGTTTAGAATTTAGTCAAAAGAAGTGCACGTGGGGTTTTTTTGTGTAGTGCCATTGTTGACCAGACTGAGACTGTGAGCTCACAGGAATTGAGAACCACGGTTTAATCTAAATCCAACAAAGTAAAAAATAAATGCAATGGACATGTGTATTGAGACCTCTAAACTGTGCTCTGCAGGGGAACCCTGCCTGGCTGGGAGGGGACAATGAGCCCCTTACGGGGTTCTCATGGCGTGGAGGAAGTGAACGCGACACAAATGGCATCCTTCTGTGGAGTGATGTGTTCTTGGTGGACCGACCTGACGGCTCTCAGGTGAGTCCCGGTTAGTCCTTGATTGGTCTCTGTTGTGTGTGCCAACTATGGACCAATTAATGTGGCCATAATATTAGCCTGTGAAGCATGTTCCATGAGAAGGCAGTACCGATGGCAGTGGTAAGGTTGCTCTGTGCATCTGAAGATGACTGTGGTTTATGAATAGAGTGAACAATACATACCGTGCACCAGTGACTAAATCACCCGGAATGCAAACAATCTCAAAAGCTTAGCAGAATTGAAACCGCATTGTATTTGGATGGGAAAACACCAAGCACATCAGGTTATTGTATTTTACAGTCAGCGACATGACAAAAACAGACATACATTCATCATCATCATTGTCTCCAGCTGTGAAATCTGTCAGGGCGTGCCGGGTGGATTGGTTGCCCTGCATGTGCTTGTGGGAGGAGGCTGTCACATGGCTCTGTGGCTATGTGGGCTAACGTCCACTCACATGACATCGACATACATCTGCATGTATTTCCTTAATTATGTGTCTTGTGTTAACTGTGTACAAGTCACATGCAAAAAAATTGCTAAATAAATAATCATCATCAGCCTTGATGAATCTGCTGCTGGATGAAGGCCTCCCCATGCCGTCAACGCGTTTTACAGTTTTGCAACGGAACAATCTGTCGAGCCACCTGTACATGAGCTGATTTCAGTGACACGTGGTGTAATCAATATTGAGGCTGATGAGCCGAGCCCTGGATGTTTCACCTATTGGGAAGCTGAACCAAAGGATTGTTTATTTCACATCAGCCTCCTTCATATAACCTTGTATTTGCAGACCGTGTGCGATCTCGCTTGTGGCTGCATCAGGCTCGGTTGTTTGTGTTTTTAATTTAAATTCACACTTTCATTCTGGTCACGGCTGTGCAGCTAAATCCCCCGGATTAGTGGGAGTGGCGGCGGAGTAAAGCCCTTCACAATTATTTGCGTAAATATTGATGTGAAAAATCTGCACTTGGCATTTACTTCTGTCAGCTGAGGCAGTTGGGTTGTGTGAGACGCTTGATTTATGAAGGCTTGATTTTCACAGTTGTGTCAAGGTAATGTTAATAATAATAATCGCCGTAATTAAAATTGCGCTCATATAGGGTGGAGGGGTGCGTAATGAAATGCAGCGACCTGAAATTGATTCGCGGTCACAACTTATAGCAGTGGTGGCTGATATCGAAACCGTTCCTGCCCGCTCCCACCATCGCCCCTCAACCCACACTGACCGACCAGCAGAGTGAAGTATGGTCAAACCACCTCCATGACCGACACGTAGAAGCGAGGTCTTCATCCAGGAGTGCGTTGACAAAAGGGACTGAATGTAATAAAACATTTAAGGCGGCAATGGTGGTTTGACATTTTCACCATGTATGGGTTTTCTCTGGGGTTGCTCCATTTAATTTGCCTCTGTGTGGAGCAGCATTTCCCACAACGCCCAACAGGGTTCCAGTTTCATTCAGGGGTCAGGGGGAGGGGTAGGGGGTCATGACGTGGACCATAAATAAGGTGGGAAGATATCTGTTTTTAACGACCAAAATAACATAAAATGTGAGCACTGATATTAATCCTACCCTCCGTCAGCCTCACACCCAAACGTTTCTGGGTCACCAATTTTTTTGGCATAATGAAGGAGGCTTCGGTCCTGGGTTGAACATATTTTAGAAACACTTGGTGAAGAGACCCAATTCCCAAGTGGGCGGGCGTTTTAATGTGCGTTTTGACAAAGCTTCACACGTGCCCAATGTGGTGACTGCACGAGGCTCGGCCCGCCGAGGACATGTCTCTGCTTGTTGGCAGGCGTTCATTGTGCATGTGTCACTTGACATGGTGGAGAGCACAGGAGCTGCATATGCCAGCCATCTCAGTCCGTTAACCACACCAAAGAGCCTTCAGCACTTCACATCACCTTAATGTGCCCATAGCTTGGCACAAGGACTGTGGTGATGCCACTGTCACTTAGTAGCAAATAGAAGCTGTTGTTATTATTATTGTGTGGGTGTGCCACTTTGCACAGGAGGTTGTATATCTGCCAGTCATCTTAAACGGTTAACTCAAAACACTTGTGTCTGTTCCGTGACCTGCCAGCAAATCTTCGACACTTCACTTGATAGCCTCAAAGTGCCCATAGCCTGTGGTATGGTGATGACATGGTCACTAGGCCTCGGCAAGGTAAGGTAAATTACCTTTATTACCGGGTAAAAGGGTAAAGGTAAGGGGTAAAGGTTTAGACATCCCAAGGGGTAAGGTAAAGAGTAGGGTAAAGGTAGCTCAGAAGAATTATCCGGTAGGGTAAGGGTAGGGCGAATAATTACCCGGTAAATACAGTACCTTGTTTACCGCTAAAAGTTCCGTGGCGCAGTCCGTGGCCTCCATTTTAAAGTGATGGCGGAGCACATGGAGACGGTCCACGTTCTTGAGGTCGAGGTACTAGAGGACGAGGATGCCAGCAACGGCTTTTTTGGGGTTGCTGCGAACAGCAATCGAAAGAGGCAGCGGTATGCGTTCCCGTGGGAGCACATACACGATTGGATGGAGGGTGATCCGCATGCACAGCAAGGGAAGCGGCAGTGCGTGCACTGCCGCAAGTGGTTTTCCACCCACACGAACGCGTCGAGGTGGAAAGCCCACCTCAAGAAACACAACGTGCTCGCCCCAGGCAGCGAGGTCGGGACGTCGGCGTCGGCGAGCCACCTAATACAGCAAACGCTGAGCCGGTCAGCAATCCCGGATCGCCTCCTGGTAAAGTTTGAGAACGCGGTGGTGTATTTTGTTATCCAAGGTGCAATCTCTTTGCGAGCCGCCGGCAGCGACAAATTCAAGACCTTGGTCAACACATTGACGCAGGGATACGAGGGCCCATCGACCCGCACCATCATTCGCAGGATTGTCGAGCATCACGCCATCATGCTGCCCATCGTCGGGGCGTTCTTCTCCAACCAGGACGTCGCCATCTCGCTCACAATCGACGGGTGGTCGAACCGCAACCTGAAGGGATTTTGGATGGTCACGGTGCACTGGATCGACAGCAAATCTGGTGCGTCAAAATCCATGCTGCTGACAATCCTCGATGTGCAGTCCGGAAGGGGTGTCGGCAAGCGCATTGGGGCCGCTCTGTTTGAGCACCTCCAAAGCCTTGGGCACAATATCTCGACCAAGCTGCTCGCTGTCACCAGCGACAATGGCTCCGATGCAAACAGTGCTGTCAAGACGTTGTTCGCCCTGGTCAACGTGGACGCCGGATATGAGCAGTTGCGGGCTTGCCACCATATTCGATGTGCGGATCATTCCGTCCAGATCGGTGTCGTCCAAGTTCTAAAACTGATCAAGTCAACAAATGCCGAACTCCGCAAGGCGCTCGTCAATATCAGGTGCAGCAAGGTCGTCCGGCAGTCGTACCGCCGCGAGGCTGAGATCGCCAAGCTCGCCAAGCTCGCCAGCAAGGAGCCGACGCACCAGGACTCGCCGACCAGGTGGCATTCGACGTTTGACATGGGCGACGAAGCCATCAAGAAGCGCGTCCCATTGGACATTATCATGGCGCGCTTCCAGGATGTGATCGGTGTCGGTGCTTTATCTGAACTGCAGTGGGCAAACATCGAGGGCGTGACAGCATTCCTGCGAATGCCGCGCCAGGTCATGGCCTCGTTGTCGGCGGACCACAATTCGACATTGGATCTCGTGCCGGTGACGATGGAGCACCTCGTCCGTCATTGCGATCACGGTGAAGCCGCCCTTAGAGCGATCGATGAGCCCTTGACTGCGACGGGGATGAAGGTCGAACTGGTGCGGTACCGCCACCTACTGGTTCAGGAACCCGCCATTGTGGCATCCTACTTGAATCCACAGCTGCCGAAAATGACAGACCAAGACGAGCTGGCTACACTGAAGGCCACGATTCGCTCTGTCCTGCAGCATCGCTACTCGGACGTGCTCACGATCTCGCCGACGGCAGTTGCTGCCCATATGGAGGAGCGGTCGCTGTTCAGCACCCTGTTCAGCAACGTCGGCAACTCCATAGACGACGGCGATGAAGTCGATCGTTTTCTGAGTATGGGCGTCACGACCGCCAGCGCCTTTATTGACGTAATGCAGTGGTGGTTTCTCCGCAAAGAGCTGCTCCCCGCCCACTACAAGATGGCCTGCGAATACTTGGGAGCGCCGGCGACGTCAACTCCCTGTGAACGTGCGAATAGCGGAGCCGGGCAGGAGTTCACATGCGATCGCCAGTCGCTGTCAACGACGCTCTTCATAAAGTCCATGTGCTTGCGCTCGTGGATCACGGCCGGCTGCCTGAAGGTTCCGTCTAACTGGGCTGGAGCGGCGCAGGATCTTATTGCCTGTCGTCCGTCCAAGGATGATGGCAATGACGAACTTGATCAGGTTGTTGATGAGATCGCCATCGACCAAGACGACTGGGACGAGGAGGTTATGGAGGACGGTATCGTCGACAGCCTAAACGCCCGATTTGAGAGTATTCTATATGAATAAAGCGTCTTCTTGGTTCTTTCGGTAAAGTCACGTAGAATGGAAATAATAAAATAATAAAATAACATTTTGTAATAATTCTCACGACGTTTCGGCCACAACGCAAGCAGCCGTCCTCAGGTGAAGACCAGGTCTGTCGGGGAGACAGCGTCTGAATGAAACAGCACCATTCTTGGAGCGTATATTTAATCTGGGTTGGAAGGGGGGGAAAGGGCGCCTTGACAAAAGAATTTGCATATCAAGAGGAATTTAGCATATTTATGGGAAATGCAGGTATGTGATTAGTACTACTTATGCCCGTGCATTATGCAGGATTAGCAGCATCAAAGGGAGGGGATATGGGAAATGCAGGTATGTGATTAGTACTACTTATGCCCGTGCATTATGCAGGATTAGCAGCATCAAAAGGAGGGGATAGGGATAGCATTAATAAAGGGAAGGAGTGTTAATAGTATGTAGCTGCAGTAACTAAAACCACCACGTAAACAACTAAGTAGTACTAATCACATACCTGCATTTCCCATATCCCCTCCCTTAGATGCTGCTAATCCTGCATAATGCACGGGCATAAGTAGTACTAATCACATACCTGCATTTCCCATAAATATGCTAAATTGCTCTTGATATGCAAATTATTTTGTCAAGGCGCCCTTTCCCCCCCTTCCAACCCAGATTAAATATACGCTCCAAGCATGGTGCTGTTTCATTCAGACGCTGTCTCCCCGACAGACGCTTGCGTTGTGGCCGAAACGTCGTGAGAATTATTTTATTATGTTTTATTTTTATTATTTTATTATTTCCATTCTACATCACTTTACTGAAAGAACCAAGAAGATGAATCCCTGCAGTCACGAAAGCTTTAAATCGAAAAATGAATAAAGCGCTCTAACTAGCATTTATCGTAAAAAAAAATTCCATGTTTTTTACCCCAGTAATTACCCTGTAATCGCGAAATTTGTATGGGATAAGGGTAAAAGGTAAGGTAAAGGTAGGCTCGTTCTTTTTTTACCTTTTACCTTACCTGCTAAATGGTAAAAGGTAGGGTAGCGCGATTGTATTGTGGTAAGGTAAAAGGTAGGGTTATGTTTCTCTTGTTTTTTGTTACCGTTTAACTTTTACCTTACCTTGCCGAGGCCTAACGGTCACTTAGTGGTGGATGGCAGCTTTTGTTGTTGTTTGTGCATGTGTGCGTGCATGCATGCAGGTCGCAGTGCTGCTGATGGACACTCAGGGGGCGTTTGACAGCCAGTCCACGATTCGCGACTGTGCCACCGTGTTTGCCCTCAGCACCATGACGAGTTCGCTGCAGGTGACGCGTTGCGCGCCCCTGCCTCTACCTGCTGCTCTCGCTCTCTCTCAGATTCCCCCCCCCCCCCTCCCAACGAATTTGCTGTTGAGCCGTGGAGAAAGGGCTTTTGTAAATTCTGTTCAATAACAGCACACATGTTGAGTTGCATATCCTAAGAGGCTTTACTTGTATCTGGTGGTTGTGTGCCTGCTGTGTGCATCCATGCGTTGTGCGAGTGCCTATGAAGTGCTTTTTTTATCTGCATTGTGATGAATTTTGGCATCATTTACAGACTTTAATATTTTTGACTTTAGGCAATCACGAGTGAGGTCCCCATAGTTTACAAGGCTCCCAAATGCTTCGGGCAGCAGCGACCGTTGATGACTCCACCGTACTGATGAGTCGTAATGAGGATGAAACCGGTCTACAGTCATGTCCTTGTTTCACTGCTGCCTGTTGGGACGGTCACATTTTTAGATGGTTTGAACGACAAACTGGCCACACGTTCAGTTCTTTGAGCTGGTGGTCTGGGTAAGAAAGTATATTTTCAAATATACTTCTCTGTCCTGTGGCCACCTACGTCTCTTTCTGCTGTCCGTTATAGAAATTATCTTTAACAAAGACCCTTCCCTTGCTCTGAAGATATACATGGCCTCCCTACTTGTAAAGCGCACTGAGATGCAGCCGCTATATATATATCACAACATTGTATTGGCATAATCATAATGATGTATGGTACTTTTTATTTATTCCGCAAGATCACCATGTGTCTCAAGACTTTCTTTTTTCAGAAAACCCTGCCTTTCAATGTTTGGCCGATTCTTGTAAAGTTTCGTGTTTGTAAGAAACCCGAGTTCTCGGAGCAAACCGAGCCACCGAGCAGAGACGGCGATAACACTCAAAGGTCCTCGCAGCTGGGCTCCTGAACTCACTTTTGCAGTACTGCCATCTCATGGCTGCGACTGCACAGGCCGGCAGCTTTTGGAGAGCTCCCAAATATCCACGATCCCACAACCCTAGCCTCCAAAGAGCTGAATTACAGGTCTGTGCGTGTCTGTGTGTGCCTGTGTGTGCATTCATGTGTGGGTGTGGGTGCATCGTGTTTAATCGGTGCTGCTATGAATGCATATCTCGCCTTAACTCTGAATGCCATTCTCGCTCCGCGCAGGTTTACAATGTGTCCCACAACATTCAGGAGGACGATCTGCAGCACTTGCAGGTAACATCATGTCACTCCGCCTGAGCAGCCCTTCACATCAATACCTCAAACTAAAGTGATTATCCGCCCCATAGCGTTCTCTCCTTAATCCTGTCCTCCTTAACGGAAACATCGATTTCATTTTTCAGAGCATCTAATGGAATTGCATCCCAAGGCTCTTTACAATAACAAACAACTACATTCGAATAGAAGGGGGTTTGGTGGGTGGGAGTGGGGGTTAGAGGCCATCAGTGCGACGCAGCCGAGGTTAACGAAACCAGGGCTTGGGGCCCCCAGCACCAACAAAAAAGAGCCCAAAGGTACAGCCCTGGGGCAGCACTATTGAGTCCTAGGGCGTCCACGATTGTCCGGGACTCGACTCCTAGGGCAGTATTGGGGGACCGAGACTTCTTCCCACAATCTCGTCGTGTGGATGTCTTCCTCCGTGCGCAGTGTCGCTGCGTTCAGACGCTTTGTACGTGCACGCTCTTCATAGTATTGCGATTGTGCTTGGGAGCGCCTGCTTATGCGCACCTCGAGTCATCGGCTTTAGTATTTGTCGTGAGCGGTGCCCGAGTTAATTTACTTCATTTGTAGCCTCTGCTGCTCTTACCTGGCTGCACTGTGGCGGCTGTCTTCCCCAGCTGTTCACAGAGTACGGAAGACTCGCGATGGAGGAGATCGTCAACAAACCCTTCCAGGTGCCGTCCCCACGTTTGTGTTCCCTCTGCTTGCTGCCGTGTATTTTGTCTTCAAACTTTACCGTACTTGAAAACGAGACTTGTTTGTAAAATATCCTTCTCGTTTCGGTTTTATCTGTACACGTAGGCCGATTGCTAAAGCTGCATTGTGAACAGCAGGGTGCAGTGTAGCAAAAGCCATTATTTTGTGCTTCAATATCCCTCCTTTCCACTCCCTACCTTTACCAACCCGCACTGACCAGCACGGTCAGTTAACCACTGTAACCCGCATGATGTCGAGAGGCTTTCATCCAGCAGTAGATTGATTCATCCTGGGGCACGATTATAAGTGGGCTGATTCAAAGTAGTAATGTGGGCATTTCGCGCCTCGCATCACCGCCACTGCCACCCCGTTGCGTCACTGTCCTGCGTTTTTTAAATAACGGACAGCCCCCGGCGCACACAGTTGAGCGGTGACGCGCACGTGTTTGTCTCGTCGCAGTCGCTCACGTTCCTCGTGCGAGACTGGAGCTTCCCGTACGAGTTCGTGTACGGCGCCGACGGCGGTCGCCACTTCCTGGAGAAGCGGCTCTTGGTGAGTGCTCGCGAAGCAGGCGTGACGTACGCGTGACGTACGCGTGACGTGGGCGTGGTGCGTCGTCACGCGCCTGCCGTTCGGCTGGACGGGAGCCATTCCAGGCCGTTTAGCGTCGGAGAGTCCTGATGGATGTCAGCGTTCCAACGTCGCTCCGGTCAGTTGGCCGGTGGTGCTACGGCTGCTGCGATACGGCGGTCCTGCGATGCATTATATCACGTAAGGTTTACAATCATCGTGCCGTCCATTTTGCCAAATATCGTCATCATTGCTTATTTTATTTTTCTTGAATATATTATTTCCTTACAAATATAAACAAACTTGTAAATAAAACAGCTTTTTCCATTAAATGAGTGATTTGCAAAATATTTTTCTCAGCAATTGATGGCATGAAAATGTTTGTTGTGTAATTGACAGCATGTATAAGTGTTATAGGCTAATTTTTTGCGAACTGCTGGTAATTTCAGCAAAGCACAACGACAACACAAGCAAAAATGTGAAGTACAATTATACAGTTATGGGAGACTGATATCACGATATAAGGTTAATATCGTGACATTTGATATCATATTATATGATGAAAAATTTCATTGTATTACGCCCCTTGAGCCATTGGTCCAAAAATAGATTCCCGGTACCACCCAGGGTGGCAATGGGTGACAGTAATATTCTTTAAATATCTTACGTATGATTGCAGCTTTTGCGTGGTAGCTTATTACGAGAACGATGTCGCTCAAGGGTGCTATGGTACGTTTCATAAAGAATATTGTTTGGGAAGAAAAAGTTAATCTACGGAATCTGAGAATAAGCCGGAAGTGTGTCTATGAAGCAGACGGTAAGTACGCTAATATTTCTGCTCACGGTGGTCGCTTCCTGCGGTACATGTGTGTAGCACTTTCCACGCCAGGTGGTAGCCACCAAAAAGGTCATGGGTTCGATCCCGACCTTGACGCGTGTTTATTTGGAGTTTGTGTGTATTTATCCCCGCAGTCGCGTGGATTTTTCTCCGGGTCCTCCGGTTTTACCCACCACATTTACAATCAATGTGCGTTTCGAGTATTTGGCTGCTATACATTTCCACGTGATAAGTCACTCCGTTGAGCTATTACTTGTGGCCAGGTTGCTTCTGAAAAGAGCTGTACAGCTCAGTGGGCCTTACCTGGTAAAGTAAAAAAAAAATAGTAACCCCCTCGGCTCATGGGCTAGTGGTGCGAATGAGCCGCCTTCACCCCCCCCCCACCTCCTCCTCGTCGGGCCGTTGCGCCTGCAGGTGAACGACCAGCAGCACGAGGAGCTGCAGACAGTGCGCATGCACATCAACTCGTGCTTCAGCAGCGTCTCCTGCTTCCTCATGCCGCACCCCGGCCTCATGGTCGCCACCGACCCCCACTTCGACGGGCGCCTGGCGGGTGAGCCGAGCGGCGGCGCCGTGGAAGGCGACCGTTTGCGAGGGCGCGCGACGAACTTGATTCTATTCCGAATGAGTACCGCTCGTTGGAATACAACTTTTTTTTAGGAAAATCGCAAGGGCGGATTTTTTCAAATGTGCACGTCATTCGAGAAAACTGACCCATCCACACGCGCACAAGCGCATCCTCTCACTGACCCACTCACCCACTCGCTCACTTATCTTTCTGTCCACTTAAATACACCCACCCACTCGGCCAGACACTCACTCCCGCACCCACTCACTCACCCACTGTAAGGAAAACACGAGCACCACCGCACGCTCGCTCTGTCGAGGAGACCGCCGCTGTATTTGTGAACTCTCCCTTGTGCCCTCCACAGACGTGGACACCGCCTTCAAGCAGTGCCTGCAGGAGCTGGTGCCCATGCTGCTGGCCCCAGAAAACCTCGTCGTCAAGGAGATTAACGGGACGCCCATCACTTGCCGCTCCCTCGTCGAGTACTTTAAGGTGACCGCCGGAGCACGGGGCCGACGCGTCCACGCTTTCCGTCGTGCAACCCACGGTGACGAGACATTCACTACCTCGCCTAGTATACAGGACTTTGTAGGTTTCATCTCAACCCTGACGCCTGTATATTTGGAGTTTTCATGTTCTCCCCATGTTCGCATGGATTTTTGTCTGGGTGCTCTTGTTTTTCCCTACACATTTAGTAGCATGTATTTATAGTATTTGGCTGCTATAAATTTCCACGTGGAAAGCCATTTCGTTGAGCTATGATTTGTGGACTGGTCGCTTCTGAAAAAAAGCTCTATAGCTCAGTGGGCCTTACCTGGAAAAAAAAACATCTCGACTCCGTTAAGCTTTCCTGGTAGACAAACATAAATACAGTCCCCACACCGCCATTCTTATGTCGGCCTTTATCAGAATTAAACACCTCGTCGTCGTCGTCATCATCAGCCACGATCTCATCACCGATGAAGGCCTTCACCCTCTCTCGCATTCTTGCGATGTAATAAACCAGCTAGCTCCTGCACCCAAGCTGATTTTTGGGGAGGTTCCAAGACCATCAAACAACACTCGCACTTGGTCCGGAATTTCTCTTGAAATTTCGCGTCGAGCGCGGACCCAGGAACCGAGCCCCTCGTCAGATCGGCGCTGGCAGATTTATCCGAGGCGCGTGTGGCACCGGCTTCACGCGGCGCCTGCGCGGGAAGCGGTGGCGCTGACGCGCGGTGTGTGCGGGCGGCGTGCAGGCGTACATGAAGATCTACCAGGGCGAGGAGCTGCCGCACCCCAAGTCCATGCTGCTGGTGCGTGGCGAGCTGACGTGCTGTGTCAACGCCGGACTTCCACCCCCTCCTCCCCACCGCACCTACTCCAGCGATTCCATTTGTCACGATTCGTGCTCGCGCTCGAAAACAAAGTTACAATATCGTTTCCATATTTATATACAACCCCCGGTTAATCTGCTGATAGACGAAGGCCTCCCCAAGCCACATCGGTCACGGGCGTTGTTTGATCACGATTTACGTCGGTGAGTAGGGGTTGAAGAGAGGGGTGCCCAAGACCGATTCACATGTCATTCGCCGCCGATCTTGGCCGTAACTGGGAATGGAAATTGCATCACGCTGGATGGGAGGTGATTGTGTGAGAGGCGATGGACGGGGCGTGGTGACATCTTTGTCATCATGAACTCCTACACTGTGGGCGTTACTCGTTGGGGGGTTTTCTACCTTGGGGAGGCAGGATGTCGGGGCAGCAGACATTTTTTAAAATGAGCCCGAGTAATTTACCACAAAAAATTAGTTGAATAATTTTTCATTTAGTTATTCAACTGGATCAATTATTCGTTTCAGCTCCAGTGTTGATGCAGGTTCATTTCTTCTGATAAATAAGTCCCATTACTGCGTGGGGCAATCTCCTGGCAACCTGGGCATAAACGAGGGCTAGGCCAATGGAAATGAAAAAACCTAAACTTGTGTTCGAATTTATATCCTCAGGCAACGGCAGAGGCCAACAACTTGTCGGCAGTGGCGGCCGCCAAAGAGTTCTACACGACCGAGATGGAGAAGGTGAGCGCGAGGACGAATGTCTGTCCGCGAGCGGCGTTCCTTTCGGAGGGCGAGTGCGTTCAGCAGCCGTGCGCGTTCGGGGTAGGTGTGTTCCGTTCGGTGGGTACGCGCATGCCGGTACGCGCGCCCGTCCGCCTACGTCATCACTTGCCCTTTCGGGGCGCGTGCCACAGGTGTGCGGCGGCGACCGCGCGTTCCTGGCGCCTTCCGAGCTGGAGCGGCACCACCGGCGCGTGGCCACGGGTGCCGTGGCCCTCTTCCGCTCCGTCAAGAAGATGGGCGGCGACGAGTTCATCTGCCGCTACCAGGAGCAGCTGGAGAACGAGGTGGAGCAGCTGTACGGGAACTTCGTCAAGTACAACGAGAGCAAGAACATCTTCCACACGTTCCGCACGCCCGCCTCACTCTTCGTGGTGATGCTCGCGGCCTACGTGCTGTCGGGCGTGCTGGGCTTTCTGGGGCTCGACATCGTGGCGTCGCTGTGCAACCTGGCGGTGACGGTGCTGCTGCTGCTGCTGTGCACGTGGGGCTACGTGCGCTACTCGGGCGAGTACCTGGAGATGGGAGTCCTGATCGACGAGCTGGCCAACTTCATCTGGCAGACGGTGCGTTTGCTCGTTTCGTCGTCGTGATTTTTTCGATGTGCGTGTCTCTCGATGTCCAACTTTCACTCGCTTGCCATCTCTGTGTCTCTCTTACTCTGTACATCTGTATGTCAAAATGTGTGTCTCATCTTACGTCTGTCTGTCACTAACTTGCTGTTCGCCTGTCTATCCCTAAACATGTTAATGTTTTTCAGGCCAATCGAAGGCGCTCCGTGCGCCGCGACGCCACCGGTGGCGTGCAAACGTAACGGTGCTGCGCCACCCTCGTTGTCCCTACAGATGATCAGCCCCCTGAGCGAAAAGCTGCTGGGCGAGGCGGCGAGGATGACGGTCTCCGGCTCCTTGGGCGCCGCGCTGCCAGCCAAGTCCAAACGCAAAACCAAAACCAACTGACCCCGCCGCCGTGCCGGTCGGCGCGCGAGCCGTGCGGCCGCTGGGGGATCAAGATAGTGGCACTGTTGGCCAGACGGTCACCACGGCGCTGACCTCTATGCATTCGTCGCCGGACGGCGTCACTTCGAGTTCCCTTGCTTGCGACCGACGGCACGGTTCGGCAAGCACGGGCTGGTGGGGGGGGGGGGTGTCGCCGAGGAGGAGGGTCTCCCGTCACCGGGGTCTGTGGCCAGTCGCCGACGGTAAATTTAATCCGCACGTTTGGAGAACGTCAAATTTTGTCCGATTGTTTGCGAAGACCTGCCGGGTATCTTTTTCGTCCCACGATTGGGCAAATGGCCAAGGCCATTAATTGCAGCCGTTTCATCAAGGTGTGAATCTGGCAGCAAAGTGCAATGAGATAATACAACAACATGCCAATACTTAGCACGTGTGGGTTCTTTACGCGGACCCCTGTCATTCCTCATTGAGCGGTTGGTGAGCGCGAGACCAAAATTGAGAGCCACACGGAGCCCCCTGTGGAGAAGCACAATTTCCGCGAGCTTTTGCCACAACGGCGATGAAATGCCATTGATTGTCAACGTCCAAACATTCCCTGCTCGCAACACGTGCATGCCAACGCGCCTTTCCCACTCGCATGTACCTCGATCGACCACCAAACACGCTCGCTTCACGGCCTGTCCTCACGCGTGTTGACTGTTATACTCCATTCGCGCACACGTGTGCTGTAGGCAGCAGCTGCCGTTGACGCGTGTTGTGTTAACCCGGGGGTATTTTGAAAGGCGCCGTCGCAGCAGCCGCGGCAGCACCAAACTGACGGCGTGGTGCGTGGCTTTGCCGGCCATTGGGCTGGTTCTTCGTTGTTGATGTGCCCTGCTGCTGCACAGAGGCAGCAGGGCCTGCACTATTCGAGGTGGAGGTAACACAAGTCGAGCCGATGAACAGTCCTGGTTTTGGAAGCGTGCTTAATTTTTAACTCGGTCCACGAAGCTGAAACTGTAACAACAAAAAAGAACCCGTGCGGTGATGCACGCTGTTCACCTGTTTGTCATTTTATTTCCATTACCGCGACGCTTGCTGCGTCCTCGTCGAATTGAGCGTGCGAGTCACAATGTTGCTTTGTTAAAGCGCTCAACTTCCGAGGGTCTCTTAATCCGTTACCGTCTACCCGCCTGGGAACTTTCAATTTGACGCTTTGACCTTTTGCGGGCCAAATTAAATCAAACGGCACGCTTTCCAAAGCGAGGCTATTTGACGGTTACTGTTTGTCCCTCCCGCCTCTCAATACCGCATGGTACTCGCTCCACCGTCTGTTTACAGCACAGCAACGTGGCCTTAGCAGTGGTAAGGTGCCGCTTCCCGCGACTCACCCGGCTTTCCGCGTCTGCCAACCGCCAGGCGGATCGGGCGGTGCACGCCGTCGATTGGTAGACGCGGAAAGCCGGGCAGCGTCCAGGCGGTGTGATGGTGGCAGATGGTGGTCCACGGGGTCTGGAGCCTCGGAGCGACTTAGTTGTGAGGAGCGTGGGTCAGAGACCAAAATTTGTCCGGCCCTGAACTCCACGAATACCCCCGCTCCCCATGTGCTCTATCGCCGCGACACGGAGCCGCTGGTGAGAGATTCGTCGGAGTTTGGTTCCGGATCAACCGCTCCAGGCTTTGACAGAGACCGGGGGGCCGCCTGCCCATCCACTGGCCTTGCTTCGAGATGGGAAGCAAGGGAAAAAATAGAACAGCTCCGTTGTGCTTGGGACATAGACGTGCTTCAGATTACACGTAGGATGCTAATTTATGTGCATTTCTGTTGATCTTGTTAAACACGAGGGCTGTTTACATCCAGCGAGTGAGCACGTTAATTGTAAACGCCGCACCTGCCTGCAAGCCTGCAAAGTCCAATGTGTAGATATTTTATGTTTTGTTTTCTCGAGGTCCACGCTTTACATTGCAAAATGTTATTGCCAGGAGTCACAGTGTTGGAGAACGCGTGCGACTCGCAAGTAAGAAAGTCGCGAGTTCAACTCCAGGTCTGGGGGCGACTTTGCCCGTTCTTCCTCCGTGCTGATAAAAACGAGAGAGCCACTCGTTGTGAGAAGGCAACATTTCTACGGGTTGACTCATCTCCGTCATGGGTTTGTCATTTCCACCTACAGCTCGTGGCTGTACGGGAGTAGTTGACCGTCTCAACATTTTTTTGAGCAAGAAACCACTCTGACCTCTGACTTGTGTACCAGTGGAACGATCCCGCTCGGACGCCATCTCGTGCGAGAAACGCGTCTTGAATTGGCTGGCTAAGAGGGGAACCAACCAAATGCACTGGGAGGTCGGGGGTGAGTCCACGTAGTTTACACAGCGAGGGGCGCCAAGTCCGCTCGAGAGCTCAGTTGGCACCCTATGCATATACAGTGGTACAACCACACGTGCGTACGTGTGTATTATAAAAAGCACCTTAATCGGTAACTTGAAGTGATTTTTGTTATTTTAGAGTACATTTTCTGTTGCCAAAATTGCAAGAAATGTTTTCAAATGGTACGGTTAATTTGGCTGTATATTAAATATTTGGTTCAGCATCTCTGTCTCTGTTTCTCGTTCCATCTCTTTCTCTATTTTTATTCTCAGACATGTTGCCCTGCTTGCGTTCTAACCCATTTTTCCCTTTTCCTCCACGTCCAAGGCACTTTCCGCTTAATCGGCTATAGTTATATTATTGTTTAAAGTGGTGTCATGCTGTTCGTCGATTGGCTCATCGAGGCGTTTGAATGTGTCGGTTAAAGTTGGTCTCGAACCAGCAACTTGCCTGCCTAGCTATTTGATGTTAACTCCCTTGTCGTCGGCTGTAATTAGCCTTACTCTAGCTTTGGCTATGTTGAAGTACAACCTGCATCACACCAGCGTGTACTCACCTATTGCATTGGTTTTGTTAATGATTGAAACACTATTGAACACACCCGCGTGGGTGTTGATGTCATAGCGAGCATCGAGAGCATGGCATCAACAAGACCGTTGATGATTGGCAGTTTTCAGAATGAACCAAAGCAAAATTAATTTATATATTCCAGCACTCAGAACTTTTTAAATCCTTTATATTAAGTTCGCTTGCTTGCTTGCTTGCGTGCTTGCGTGCTTGCTTGCTTACAACCGTACAAATCTTTCGGTCGTTTTTTAACCCACTTCCTGTGATCCAATCGAGCTGACATTTTGCACACAGACTCGTTGTGCGAGACAATGTTCGTGAAAAATTTTTTCCAAAATTTTACACTGTTTAGGGAAAACAAATTAAATATTTAATTACCAATTGCTTAATACTGGCAGACAATCATCTGACCCATAGGTGGCAGCCATCTCAAGCCAGAGGACGAGAGGACTCTAGCCGCCACGCATATAAAGGATTTAGAGTGAAAAACTTTGTTTTTACGGGTTATACTTGTTTCAGATGTCATTGGTGACAAAACAAACCGGGGGACTTGCGCAGAGTGACAGCCAAGGGAGGCTGCACGAGGTGTGTCTGGCGTGCATGGACGAGCATTGCCTCCCGCGTGCACAGAGCCGTGGAATCAGCTCTTTGTGCAGGAAATTGTCAGCGTCGTCGTCGTTGGTGACGACGGCCCGGCGAGACCTTCATCCAGCAGGGGATTGATCACGACTGGTGATTGCCAATGGAGCCTGGTCGTGTTTATTAGGTGGTGTGTTTAAAGTTGTTGAGACAGCTGGTCGCGATTCCTACCTTGCAGACCAACTTAGATCGTATTGGTCACCCCGTGCCCCTTGTCCCTTGTAAATCTCAACGTTCATCCGACAAAGTCCCATCACAAGGCAGAGAAGCACACACAAATAGACACATTTCTCTGTCCGTATTGAACGGCTGTACTCCGCATGGACCTGAACTCAATTTCCCTGTACAAGAATGCGGAGTAACCTGTATTGTCTGACAGCTCTGTCTGGTTGCAATTTAAACGCAGTGCTCGAACGCCATCGATCTGGGTGAGAGTACGGAAAGTAGACTTTCCCTTTCAGATGATGTTTCAGTTTTCAGTTTCATTTATCAGGTATAGACCTGTGAGCCATGCGGCACTTGACTCGGGTGCAACCGCAAAACAAAACATGATCAAGGAACATCTTGAAGTGACTACGCGAACAAGAAAAAAATCCAGGAAAAACAGCAAAGTCTTCCAGAAAAAGCACCGCATATCAACGCTGTGTGTAGGATGTGAACAAACAAGAATGATACAATACAATCTCGCGGTTCGCTTTGAGTTGTGCTCACGGCACCGGGCGAGGATCTGTGCCGCGTTGCGAGTTGCCAGGCCGAGTCCCACCCAGGTCACCGCCGCCCGCCACCACCACCTGCACGGCCGTGGAGGCGCGCGGGTCTCGGGTTCGATACCGGCTGCTGGCACGAGGGGGCGACTCTCGCGCGCGACACGAGGCCACCCCGAGTAACGAACAGCGCTCTTGCTCTATGAGACCTCATTTAGCAGTGGCAAAATATAGTAATAGGTTTTTACCCTTTCAACTGGTACAAAACTGACACCTTTATACAAGGCATCATGTTTGCAATAACCACAACACAAGCAGTCAAAATGAAAACAAGAAGAAACAACTCTGATAATGGTAATGATATGCATTGTCCTTGAACTTGATTGGTCCACACCCGAGACAGCTTTTCTTAGAGCCTAGTCTCCATTGGTGTTGGACCAGATGACGCCAAAAGGCGTACAACTCAAAGACAATGCACTATCAGAGTATTGAGAGCTCCGGTTAAGCATTTACACTATGAGACATCTCCTTTACCAGTGGCAAAATATAGTAATAGATTTTTACCCTTTCAACTGGTACAAAGCTGACACCTTTATACAAGGCATCATGTTTGCAATAACCACAACACAAGCAGTCAAAATGCAAACAAAAAGAAAGGGTAAAACCCTATTACTATATTTTGTCACTGGTAAAGGAGGTCTCATAGTGTAAATGCTTACCCCGAGCTCTCAATACTCTGATAGTGCGCTGTTTTTGAGTTGTATGCCTTTTGGCGTCATCTGGTCCAACACCAATAGAGACTTTTATTAATTTTAATGTTTTACCTACGTGACTTTACCGAAAAAACCTAAGAATAAGAGACTAGGCTCTAAGAAAAGCTGTCTCGGGTGTGGACCAATCATCTTCAAGGACAGTGAATATCATTATCAGAGTTGTTTCTTTTTGTTTGCATTTTGACTGCTTGTGTTGTGGTTATTGCAAACATGATGCCTTGTATAAAGGTGGCAGTTTTGTACCAGTTGAAAGGGTAAAAACTTAACACTACAGCGCTCTTGCTGTTGATGAATACGTCTCTGCAGTGGTGTCACTAAAGCTGTAACGAGTGGTCAAAGTGTTGCATATCGGGTCTCATCAATTAAGTTTCCAACCCGTGAACATTGACATGCACGGCATTATATTTTTTTTGCCAACCTATTTCTGGACGAAGGGCCTCCTTCCGCATGCTGTGTTGCAGATCGTGGGTGTCATTTGACCATACTTCACCGCGCGGGTCTTTTGAAGGCGTGGGTGCGTAGACGTGCAGTACAACAGTGCCGTACTGCCCGCCACGTATCCCCGCAGAATGTAGTGCAGCTGGCACGCGCCTGATCGCTCTTCAACATACGTCCCAGGTTCATCCCCCGTCCTGCTTAACTTCCGAGACCCTGGCGAATTCAATCGCCAGCCTCAGCGATGTTGTTGGTCACCGTTCTTAAGAGTGCCATGTCTTCACCAGGGCTACGGCTCGCCGAGTCTCAAGACGCATTGCCAAGGAGGATCCTGATACATTGGGATCATTTGGCGCAGCTTCAATATTGCTTCGTGAGCGTTTGGGCTCCGCGTGCGTTGGCTACGTACGGTGCGAAAGAAGGTCAACATACATTACGACCCTCAAAGCTCTACACAGATAGATGCAACAATCACTGGCTGTACTGCGGCCACCTGGCCACCTCGCAACCCACGCCCACAACACGGGGGAATCCCAGGCAGACTCCAACTCTAACCTGTCCATAGGATTTTTGGAATATTTATGTAGCCACAAGGTGTGTGTGTGTGTGTAGCTCCAATGTGTGTGTGTAGCTACAGGATAAGAGAATATTTTTGTTTCTTTAATTTTGCTCTCCCGTGCACGCGACACTGAAAGCAATCGGTCATCCTTCGAGATGGGGGTAGACCACGTGTGTATTAGGTTCGGTTAGCTTGGTCCTCGAGGCGCGAGTGACTATTTATACCTCTCAGCAGCGCGCTTGATTGTAATTACTGGTGATTTCCCCCCCCCCCGCCCCTAATCGGCATCATCAGCTGCAGCAAAAAAAAACCAGCAGCGCCATCAGCTTACGACTTCATCACCCGCACCGGCCAGATCTCAGCAGCAAAGTAAACGCCGAGCCTGGCTGCCTGCCTCGACAATGCCGGGGTTGTCAGGGTTGCTGGTGCGCTGCGGGTTGGCCAGCCACGAGGTGGAGGAACGCGCAACGGATTATTGTATTCATCTGTGCGGAGCTGTCAGCGCGACGTCGCTTGGAAGTGGGTGCGGGCGGGGGGGGGGGGAGATGGCGCGCGCGGAGCGGATCGATGGCAACTCCCAAGGTCGCGCCGCCCTTCAGCAGAGCGAGGTCGGAGTCGAGGAGGAGGAGGAGGCGCGCGTTCACACGGAGGGCGTCGGAGAGAGAGGGAGGGAGGGCGATTTTATTGAGTGTGGACTACCTCGCGAAGGCGAAGCGAAAGTTACAACTCCGATTTTGTTTTCAATCGCGTGAGAGTTCCGGAGACCAGGATGAGTGTCATTTGCGAAAGTGGGGCGGGTTATAACCTATGCGACCATTTTTTTCCGGTATTGAAATGATGATAAGAAATTAAATTATGTAATAGGCAATTAACCACGATGGCTGAGGCAAAGCTTATTTGGAAATGAAATTATTTACTTATCAAGGACACCTTTTTCAGGAGGCTCCTGAATTGTTTTTTTTTAACAGAGGGTAGTAGGTTTTTACCCTTTAAACTGGTACAAAACTGACACCTTTATACAAGGCATCATGTTTGCAATAACCACAACACAAGCAGTCAAAATGCAAACAAAAAGAAACAATTCTGATAATGATCATTATCAGAGTTGTTTCTTTTTGTTTGCACCAGTTGAAAGGGTAAAAACCTACTACTATATTTTGCCACTGGTAAAGGAGGTCGCATAGTGTTTTTAAACAGAGGTTTCCAGGCAACTAATGATGAGTTGTGATCATTATTATCCGTGTGGGAGGAAGCCGGAGCACTCGATCCCCCTACAGATGGAAACATCTGGCGATTAGTGCACTTCCACAGTCCGCCCGTGTGGCGACCCACCAACACTATCTGCTGACTCCACATCACCGGAGCGCAGACAGCAGCCACGTGCAGGGTAGCCACCGCCGCCGCTCGGCTCCAAGTACCCCCACAAAGGAGGACGCTAAAGTCGAGGAGGACTCCCCCGTCGTGGCGACATTCATCGGGAGGACGGTGCGAGCTTGAGTGGAGCAGTGAGCCTGGGTTCTTGGGAGTCAGGTGGCGATGCAGAGTTGGGAGTCGCCATCGAGAAGGTGGTGAGCGTTGGGTTGTGGGGAGGTAAGGATAGAGACTTTATGGGACACCGTAGCACGGGCGGGGGGGGGGGTCATGGTGAGAGGAAGAGAGTCCTTGTGTGGGCATAGAGAGAGTGGTGCGAGGGTTAAGAGCACGGACCCAGGAGATGAGTGTGGTGGTGGTAGTGGTGGTGGTGAGTGGTAATGTAGCGGTCAGCGCACTGCGCTACGAACCCGGTGACGCGAGTTCGATTCCCGCTCACGGCCAACATCGGTGACGGATATCTGAACCGGTCCTGGGCCTCCTCTAGGTCGACTCAGCCTCAAATGAGTTCCTGGTGCGGTGTGTCAACATCGCCACTGGGGAGACAGGCGATCGGGCGTGGTGCTGACCACCCACCCTGCTGTTCGCTAACAGCGCTTGCACCGACAGTCCGTGAAGGCTACGCGGGGGGGTGGGGGGGGTCTTTGTCTCTGGTGGTGTGGAGTGGCCCCCTGGTGCCAGACGCGGCAGAGAGGTCGAGGGGACCTCGGGGTGAGAGTGGCCCACGGCGCGAGATGCGAGGAGGACATTGGGACACGAGAGTGCCGGGATTGGCCCTCGCCCATCCCGCCCCTGAGGGTTCGGCGAGGGGTTCTTGGGGGGGGGGGGTCGTCGTCTTCGGCGGCGAGGGAAGGGGGACGGAGGGGATTCTGGGGGGAGTGGATGGATGAATGGGCGAATAGGTGAGTGGATGGGTTAGTGGGTGAGTTAGTGAGTGTGAATAGGTGAGTGCATGGATGTATGGGTGAATAGGTGAGTGGATGGGTTAGTGGGTGAGTTAGTGAGTGTGAATAGGTGAGTGGATGGGTTAGTGGGTGAGTTAGTGAGTGTGAATAGGTGAGTGGATGGGTTAGTGGGTGAGTTATTGAGTGTGAATAGGTGAGTGGATGGGTTAGTGGGTGAGTTAGTGAGTGTGAATAGGTGAGTGGATGGGTTAGTGGGTGAGTTAGTGAGTGTGAATAGGTGAGTGCATGGATGTATAGGCGAATAGGTTAGTGGATGGGTTAGTGGGTGAGTTAGTGAGTGTGAATAGGTGAGTGAATGGGTTAGTGCGTGAGTTAGTGAGTGTGAATAGGTGAGTGCATGGATGTATGGGTGAATAGGTGAGTGGATGGGTTAGTGGGTGAGTTAGTGTGAATAGGTGAGTGCATGGATGTATGGGTGAATAGGTGAGTGGATGGGTTAGTGGGTGAGTTAGTGAGTGTGAATAGGTGAGTGCATGGATGTATATAGGCGAATCGGTGAGTGAATGGGTTAGTGGGTGAGTTAGTGAGTGTGTGAATAGGTGAATAGGTGAATGAATGGGTTACTGGGTGAGTTAGTGAGTGTGTGTGTGTGAATAGGTCAGTGGATGGATGAATGGGTTGATGGATGAGTGCGTTGGTGAGTGGGTGAATGAGTCGATTGGTATGTTAGTAGGCAAGTAGATTTGATGGGAGGATGTTATAGGTGAGTGAGAGTAAATAGTTGAGTGAGTTTTATGGGTGGATGAGCGATACTCGATTAAGTGGATGTGTGAGTGGAACAGTAACTGAGTGAGTGGATGAATACGTGAGTGGGTTGGTGAGTGAGTGAATAGGCGACTGAATATTTGGAGGAGCGAGTGAGTGAATGAGTTGTTAATAGCTGAGTGGGTGGTGGCTGAGTGAATCGTTGAGTGGATTGGTGAGTGGGTGGATGGATGAATGACTGTGTGGATGACCGAGGGAGCGAATAGCTGAGTGGGTGGATGCGTGAATGAGCGAGTGGGTGTGGGGGGGGGGGTCTCTGGGTGGGGGGGGGGGGGTCTCTGGGTGGGGGGGGGGGCTGGATCTCTGGGTGGGGGCGGGGGGGGGGGGGTCTCTGGGTGGGGGCGGTGTGCGGAGCTTAGAGGCGGTGCAGCACTGTGGGGCTGAGACTGAAGCAGCAGCAGTAGCAGCCGCAGCGACAATAGCAGTCATCAGCAACAGCAGGATCAGCAACAGCAGCTTGCAGACATCAGTTGAAGAGGCGATACGTGGAGCCAGGTATGAGCGTGGTGTGTGTGGTGTGTGTGTGTGTGGTGTGTGTGGTGTGTGTGTGTGGTGTGTGTGCGTGGTGTGTGCGCGTGGTGTGTGTGTCTGGTGTGTGTGCCTGGTGTGTGTGCCTGGTGTGTGTGCCTGGTGTGTGTGGTGTGTGTGTGTGGTGTGTGTGCGTGGTATGTGTGCGTGGTATGTGTGCGTGGTATGTGTGCGTGGTGTGTGTGCCTGGTGTGTGTGGTGTGTGGTGTGTGCGTGTCACTGTCTTCGTGCAGCGTGCTCTGCCTGTGTTGTGTTCCGTGCGTGTCGTCTGTCTGCGCGCGCGCCCGTTCATTATCCTGTCTCATGCATTGGCATGTGCGTGTGTTCCGATGTGTCGTGGTTGTGTGTACGTAGATACACGCGTGTGCTCGCGTGTTCACGTGTGTGTGCGCGTGTTCACGTGTGTAATAAACGTGCGTGTTAATGTTGCGTGCGCCTTTGTGTATTCCATCGTGTGTGTGTTTGCAATGTGTGTGTAGGGTGATTGTATTAACGGACGTGTTGATTGAGTGTAAATGTGTGTGATGTGTGTGTGCGTGTGTGTGCGCGTGTGAATGTGGCTCGTTCAATGCGTGTGTTGTGGTGTGGTTTTCCTGACCGTGCGTTCGGCGTGCGCGTTGATCGTGCCGACCTTCGTGTTGTAGGTTGCGCCCGTGGGTCGCGATGGTGTGCGTACACCATTCGTCCGTGTGTGATCATTATAATAGAATCGCGTGTTGGGGCGTCTGCCCGTGTGTCGTAGTGTAGCGGTCAGCGCGCTGCACTACGAACCCGGCGACCCGGGGTTCGATTCTCGCTCACGGCCAACACCGGTGACGATTAATCTGAACCGGTCCTGGGCCCTTCCGTAGGTCGACTCAGCCTCAAAATGAGTACCTGGTGCGATGTGCAAACATCGCCACTCGGGGAAACAAAGGCGGCCGGCCGTAGTGCTGGCCACCCACCCCCTCGTGTACCGTGCCTGCCTTCATAGGTGCTCGTTCAGAGCACTTTCCCCAGCAGTCTGTCAAGGCTACACGGGGGACCTTTGTCTATGTACGTTTCTGTGTGTCCTTGTGTGGGGAGCGGTGGCGTAGTGGTCAGCGCATTACGCATGGAACCCGGCGACCAGAGTTCGATTCCTGCCCAACATCAGTCCCGAATAATTGAACCTGAGTCTCCCCTAGACTCAGCTTTAAAGGCGTGTGCCGTAGGTGCCCGCTAACAGCACTTGCCCCAACAACCTGTAACGGCGATACGGGGCGTACGTGTGCGCGTATCCGTGTGTGTTTGCGTGTCTCCTTGTTTGTCATCATATAGAGAGCGCAATCATCATCATCACCAGCAGCAGCAGCATCATCAGTCGCATGCTGGTAATTCTAATGGCGTGTGTTTGTTAATGATTAATGGGAGGCGAGCTCGCCCGTGTTACAAGAGAACACAGGTTAGGCTCATTAATATAATCAACAACATCATTAACAAAATCATCATCATCATTAATCGCATCACCATCGTCATGATCATCAACCTCATTGGCACCATAGGCATCGTCAACATCATCGTCAACATCATCATCAACTCCATTGACATCATCGCCATCAGGAACACAGCCATCAGCAGAAGCATGATCATCAAGTGCACCGTCAACCCTGATCGTCATCATCAACTCACCAACCACATGGACACCATCCAACCTCATCAAACCTCATCAAGCCTCGAGGCTCAAGTGAGACTTGACTGGAAAGAATGAGTAGGATCATTATAATATCGTCGTAGGATTGTGGAGTGTCCACCACTGGCTTCAGTAACACCAAGGCCTTGCCCCCGTGGATGAACGTCTGGGGTTGGGGTCGAGTCGCGGTTAGTGGTTGGGCTTAGGGGGTTAGGGGTAGCGTTTAGGGGTTGTTATGGACTTGGGGTTAAAGTTGTTAGGGTTAATTTAGTTTAGGTTATGGTAATAGTTGGGTTAGGGTTATAGTTGTGGCTGGGGCTATGATTGTGTGTTAGGGTAGTGGTTGTGGTTGTGTGTTAGGGTTGTGGTTCTGGTTGTGTGTTAGGGTTGTGGTTATAGTTGTGTTAGGGTTGTGGCTATGGTTGTGTGTTAGGGTTGTGACTATGGTTGTGTGTTAGGGTTGTGACTATGGTTGTGTGTTAGGGTTGTGGTTATGGTTGTGTTAGGGTTGTGGCTATGGTTGTGTGTTAGGGTTGTGACTATGGTTGTGTGTTAGGGTTGTGGCTATGGTTGTGTGTTAGGGTTGTGGTTGTGTGTTAGGGTTGTGGTTATGGTTGTGTGCTAGGGTTGTGGTTATCGTTGTGTGTTAGGGTTGTGGTTATCGTTGTGGTTATCGTTGTGTGTTAGGGTTGTGGTTGCTCTTATAATTAGGATTGAGGTTAGGTTTGAGGTTGCGATTCGGTTTAGGATTTTGGTTGTGGTTGGGGTCAGGGTTCACTGTGGTGAGGCTGAGGGGTTTGGATGGTTGCTGTTGTGGCTCGGATTGTGGTTGTCATAGCGGGTTATGATCACGGCGGGGATTTAAGGGTTACGGGTTCTCTGCGGTTCCGCTTGGGGTGGTGGGACTGTGGTTGGGGTTGGGGTGCGCTGGGGGTCGGGTTGCCGGTGGTCTTGCCGAGTTGCTCGGTTTCCACTTTGCGCCGCCGCCGCCGCATTGCGAGCTCGGCGAAGCGACGCGACCGCTCGCAGCACGAGCGAATCACGGACACGCCGCAGCCAAGACAAAGGTGCCCTGTGTAGTCTTGACAGACTTTTTGGGGCAAGTGCTGTTGGCGAGCACCCGATGAAGGCCCGGCAAGAGTGACCTGGGTCATCAAAATTACAAAAGCAATGAAATAAAACAAGTACATCGATGAAACGAAGAGAAATCAGAGGAAAAAAAAAGAACCACGGTACAGGAGAAATATCAAATATTGTAACGAGGATACATCTCCCCGGTGGCGAAAGTCAGCTCGGACAAACGCGTCCAGCACCCGCGATTACTGTCGCGTCATTCCCAGGGGGATTGCTGCCACCGCCGTTGAGCCACCTCCGTTGAGCCACCGCCGTGGGAGCCGCGGCGGTAACGGCGAGCGGCGCTTGCACCGAGTGAGCACCGGTTCCTTCCCTCTGGCCGAGAGCGAGCAGCCACACAAGATACGGCAGTGTAGCGGTCAGTGTAGCGGTCAGTGTAGCGGTCAGCGCGCTGCAAACCTGGCGGGCCGAGTTCGATTCCCAGCCAACACCGGCTCACGGCCAACACTGGTGACAATTACCTGAGTCGATCCTGGGCTTCCTTTAGGTCGACTCGGCCTAAAATTAGTATCTGGTGCGGTGTGTGAGCATCGCCATTAGGGAGACAATGACGGCCGGGTGGGGTGCTGGCCACCCACGGCCTCGTGTGCCGTGCCGGCCTTCATAGGTGCCTGCCAACAGCACTTGTCTGTTAAGGCTATCGGGGGCATCTTTGGTCTGGTTGATGGTAGTTGGCGGTGATTATGACGATGATGATGATGATGGTGGCTGATGACGATCTCTCTCACCAGGCTCACCTCTCCCACCTCTCCCACCTCCCTCGTCACCTCTCGCAGCCGCCCCCGCCCGCCGTGCTCCTCGTCTCCCCCGGGGGGCCCGGAGCGGCCACCATGGGCGGTCTGCGGCTGCGGGGCCTCTCCCGGGGCGGCCTCCAGCTGGGCCTGGCCGCCGCCGCCCTGCTGCTCGCGCTGCGCGGCGCCGGCGCCGCCACCACCGCGGCCGTCCCGCCCGCGGGGCCCACCTCCTCCTGGCCCGGGGGGGCGACCGCGACGACGGCAACGGCCAATCAGAGCAAATCGTGCCTGGGCACCTACACGTGCTTGCCGGGCATCCTGCTGCCCGTATGGCTGCCCAACGACCCGCCGCTCCCGGACAAGGTGGCGCGCGCCCTCGTCTACTTCGTGTGCCTCATGTACATGTTCCTGGGCGTGTCGATCATCGCCGACCGCTTCATGGCCTCCATCGAGGTGATTACGTCGCAGGAGAAGGAGATCACCATCAAGAAGCCGAGCGGCGAGACCGTCACCACGACGGTGCGCGTGTGGAACGAGACGGTGTCCAACCTCACGCTGATGGCGCTGGGCTCGTCGGCGCCCGAGATCTTGCTCTCCGTCATCGAGGTGTGCGGGCACCACTTCGAGGCGGGCGACCTGGGGCCCAGCACCATCGTGGGCAGCGCGGCCTTCAACATGTTCGTCATCATCGCCATCTGCGTGTACGTGGTGCCCGACGGCGAGACGCGCCGGATAAAGCACCTGCGCGTGTTCTTCGTGACGACGGCCTGGAGCGTCTTCGCGTACATCTGGCTCTACCTCATCCTCGCCGTCTTCTCGGAGGGCATCGTCGAGGTGTGGGAGGCGCTGCTCACGTTGGCCTTTTTCCCCGTGTGCGTCGTCTTCGCCTGGGTCGCCGACCGCCGCCTGCTCTTCTACAAGTACGTGTACAAGCGCTACCGTGCCGACAAGCACCGCTGCGTCATCGTCGAGTCCGAGGGCGAGCGGCCCAAGTCGTCCTTTGAGATGGACGGCAAGGGGGCGGCCACGGCGGCCGGGGGGGGCGCGACGGCCGTGGCGCTGCAGCTCGACGGGCCCGACGTGGCCGACGAGCCCGAGGTGGGCGAGGGCCGGCGCGAGATGTTCCGAATCCTCAAGGAGCTCAAGCACAAGCACCCGGACAAGGACCTGGAGCAGCTGACCGAGATGGCCAACTACCAGCTGCTGAGTCAGCAGCAGAAGAGCCGCGCCTTCTACCGCATCCAGGCCACGCGCAAGGTGCTCGCCCCTGCCTCCTCGGCTGCTCCCGCTGGACTCCTGGCCCCAATCGCAGCGCGAATGTTTTGGTTTTGTCGGTAGCAATGGAGGAGCGGTGGACGTGACGGGAGTCTCGCGGTCAGCAGCTCTGTCCGTAGTGGCCGATGGGAGATGACGCGGTGTCGTGACGATGCCGTGGTGTCGTGACGATGCCGTGGTGTCGTGACGATGCCGTGGTGTCATGCGTAGCACCCTGAAACCGCAATCCAGAGGTCGCCGGTTCGATTACAATGGTGCAAGTTTCCCCAATCCCCCCGCTCCCCACCCCCCACGTGTTAACACCACGTGGTATACAGGAGGTCGTAGGTTCGATCCCCACCCTACCGCCTGTATATTTGGAGTTTATACTGGTAGGAACCTTCTGGTTACACCAGCCCACAGGGGATTATTGTGTCCGTCGTGCAGGGAGGGGCTGGGTGGGGAGGGAGGGGCTGGGTGGGGAGGGTGGGGAGGGGTTGGGTGGGGGGTGGGAAGAGTGGGGCTGGGTGGGGAGGGGCTGGTCACCCCGTGGTGCCCTTATAAAACTCAACGTTTAACCTACTCACGCCGTCTTGTGCCCGCCCTCACAGTCGGGCATATTTGCGGAATACACCACGCCGCCGTTGACCCTGGCCATTGACCGAGCAACCCGACGTTCCTACCAGCTCCCTCCGCAGGAATGTGTTATGTACAGGCGGTAGGGCCGCGTAGATTTTTCTCCAGGCCCTCCGGTTTTTCCCTCCACGTTTAAAATCAACACCACACGTTTAGAGTATTTTTTGCCGCTATAAATTTCTACTTCGTTGAGCTGCCATTTGTGATAGTCAGGTCGCTTTTGAAAAAAGAGCTCTACAGCTCAGTGGGGTCTTACATGGTGAAATAAAAAAAGTGTATTTTGAGTCTACATGGGGACACCACGGTTAGTCGATCGGCAGGCAGGTCGCGTGTGATGGGGTAAAGTGTGGGTACGCCCACCTCTACCAAAAGGTCGGGTCAACGTGGACGAGTAGGCCAAGCACTGTCTCCAAGTCGCGAGCATCGTTTTTTTAAACTTTCCTCATAAAAAAAACTCCCCCCCCCCCCACAAAAAGTCTTGGCTCAACGGCAGCTCCTGAATCCCCAGGGCAAGAGAGACGAGCATCTCGTACACGGGAGGTCACCCGGCTAGATTCAGGACGTGGTGTTGTAAGACCCTCCCTGTAGGAGGCAAGGTAATTCAAATTCCTATTTTAAAAAGCGATTAAATAATGCAGCTAAACAAAGGCCACTGTTCTGCACAGTAGGGACATCCGGATGTTCCTGGAGGCCTGGGGCTATAGGCTCGGGGCAACATGGGGGGGGGGGCCTTGTTAATTAGCGTGAAAACAGCCGCTGTGGGGCCCTCTCTTGTGAGGTTCTGGGTAAATAGTAGCTTCCCCCTACCCCACACCTGCCGTGATGTACCTTTGTAATCAACGTAAATCCGTATTCCTACACTGCAGGCGACGGTGATGACTAATTATACCGCTGATCATGTTGAGCGGCGTTCTGTCGCCGCCGCCAAAGCAGGCAAGCGAACAAAGATTGAAAAGTTGAGGCCCGAAGAGCCAAAGGTGCGGTGGGGGGGGGGACAGCACTCGTGGCTGGCTGGTTAACGGTCGCGGCAAGAATAGAATTTCCCCAACTGCTGCTGTGGCCCTCCGATCGCGTCACCCGCCCCCCCCCCCCCCTTGTGCCTCCAGATGACGGGCGCCGGCAACATCCTGAAGAAGCACCTGCTGGAGCAGGCTCGCCGCTCGGCCAGCATCACCGAGATCCACGTGGAGGCGGGCGACGGCGCGGGCGCCGCCTCCTCGGCGTGCCGCGTGTTCTTCGAGCCGTCCTCGTACCGCTGCCTCGAGAGCTGCGGCGCCTGCACCCTGACGGTGGTGCGGCGCGGCGGCGACCCCCGCGCCACCCTCTACGTCGACTACCGCACCGAGGACGGCTCGGCGAGCGCCGGCTCGGACTACGACCTCGCGTCCGGCACGCTCGTGTTCCGGCCCGGCGAGACGGAGAAGACGATCAGCGTGGGCATCGTCGACGACGACATCTTCGAGGAGGACGAGCAGTTCTTCGTGCGGCTCAGCAACTTGCGGGCGGCGCCCGGGGCGGGGGACGAGGAGGCGGCGGCGGCGGCGGCGACGGAGGCCGGGCAACCGGACGTGGTGGCGGTGGCGGTGGCGGGCGTCACGCCGTGCCTGGCGACGCCCGACGTGGCCAGCGTCACCATCCTGGACGACGACCACGCGGGGCTGTTCGGCTTCGAGGAGGCGGCGATGCGCGTGAGCGAGAGCGTGGGCTGCGTCGAGGTGCGCGTGGTCCGCTGCTCGGGCGCACGCGGCTCCGTGCTCGTGCCGTTCGCGACGGTCGAGGGGCGGGCGAAGGGCGGAGGGGAGGACTACGAGGACGTCAGCGGGGAGCTGCTCTTCAAGAACGAGGAGAGCGTGTGAGTAGATCGAGCGAGCGCGCGCATCCACCGACATCGTCGCCACCCTAAACAAAGTCGTCGTCGCTTTGATCGATGTCGTCGTCAGCATCACCGCCACAGCCACGAACGTCAGCGTCATCAGTGTTATCATCAGCAACACCGCCGCCACCATTCATCATCGCTATGATCAATGCTATCATCTCCTCAGCACCGTCTCCTCAGTCGCCCCTTTGGGTGGAGTTTCCTTCCACCAGCACCGTGATCATCAATGGTATCATCGGCATTATCACCATCGCCACCACAACGATCATCAAGCAGTCGTTACCATTGTCATCGTCGCCATTGTGACGTCGTAACTAATGCCACACGCGTGACTCGTGGACCCACGTGGTCACGGGTGTCCAGTGAAAGCGCCGTCGTCATGAGAGACAGACGCTGCTGATTTGAGAGTCGTGGGTGCCCATGGTGTGTGCATGTCACGTGTTTTGTGAGTGTATGGGGAGCGGTGGCACAGTGGTTAGCACACTGTTCCACTAACCCGCCACTCCAGTTTCATTTCTGCTCACACCCAACATCGGTGTCAAACATCTGAACTGGCCCTGGGCCTCTCCTAGGTTGACTCGGCCTCAACTGAGTACCTGGTGTTATGTGTAAACATCAGCATTGGGGAGACAAAGTCGGCTGGGTGTGATTCTGGTGCGCCGTACTAGTTTGCATAGGCGCTCGCGAACGGCACTTGCCCTGCGTATCGTTCCTTCTCAGGCAGTGTTATTGATTCATGTGATTTATTTAGCGATGTGCCATACGTAGGCTAGACATGGCATGTTTGTGTTTGTTCACGCGTGACGGGTGGTGTGTACTCGGTGCCTGATGAGTTTGTGATGTGTGTGTGTGATGTATGCATGTTATACCAGTACCGGTGATGTCGGTACAGGTGATGTGTGATGTCTGCATATTTGATGCATGTGATGTGTGTAAGTTTACGTTTGTGTGCTGTTTTTCTGGGCCAAGTGAATAGACCCGAGCGGTGATTTATGGCCAGAGTTTTGACATTGCGTAGAGGTTACTTGCGATATATTTATATATAACACACAGCCAGAGTAAATTGCCGCTGCTGTTGCAGCAGCGGTAATACATGGGGTAATTAAAGGAAACATAATCACATTTCCTTTTGCCGTGAGTGGGCGTGTGTTAAATTGCGTGCTGGCTTGTGCGCGATATTGAGTGTGTTGGGAGTTACGATGCCACGTGTGAGTCTTGGTGGTGTTGGCCGTGAAGCTTGTGTTGGTGCGTGCGTGGACGATCAGCGTGTGGAGCGGTGGTGCAGCGGTTCACGCACCGCGTTACAAACCTGACAACCCCCCCGATTCCCGCTCAAGGCCAACACCGGTGACGATTATCTGAACCGGTCTTGGGGCCTCCCCTAGGTCGACTCAGCTTCAAATATGTACCTGGTGCGGTGTGTACACCGCCACTGGGGAGACGGAGGCGGCCGGGCGTGGTGCTGGCCACACACCCCATCGCACACCATTCCAGTCTTAATCACTCATGGCACTTTCCCCAACACCCCCTGCGACCAGGCGGAGAGGGTTTGCCGTTGTTTCATTACATTCGCACGCCATCCACGTGTGCGCTGTGCAGGTGTATCGCGTGTGCACGATAGATTATAACTGTGGGTCTACAATAGTATGATGTGTATTATAATGGTGTACAGGATTATGATGGGTGCAGGTGTGTGTAGTGATGGGTGTGTACAATAGGCAGGTGTGTGTAGTGATGGGTGTGTACAATAGGTAGGTGTGCGTAGTGATGGGTGTACAATAGGCAGGTGTGTGTAGTGATGGGTGTACAATAGGTAGGTGTGCGTAGTGATGGGTGTACAATAGGCAGGTGTGTGGAGTGATGGGTGTACAAGAGGCAGGTGTGTGTAGTGATGGGTCTACAATAGGCAGGTGTGTGTAGTGATGGGTGTGTACAATAGGCAGGTGTGTGTAGTGATGGGTGAACAATAGGTAGGTGTGTGTAGTGATGGGTCTACAATAGGCAGGTGTGTGTAGTGATGGGTGTACAATAGGTAGGTGTGTGTAGTGACGGGTCTACAATATGCAGGTGTGTGTAGTGATGGGTGTACAATAGGTAGGTGTGTGTAGTGATGGGTGAACTATAGGTAGGTGTGTGTAGTGATGGGTCTACAATAGGCAGGTGTGTGTAGTGATGGGTGTGTACAATAGGCAGATGTGTGTAGTGATGGGTCTACAATAGGCAGGTGTGTGTAGTGATGGGTGTACAATAGGTAGGTGTGTGTAGTGATGGGTGAACTATAGGTAGGTGTGTGTAGTGATGGGTCTACAATAGGCAGTTGTGTGTAGTGATGGGTGTGTACAATAGACAGGTGTGTGTAGTGATGGGTGTACAATAGGTAGGTGTGTGTAGTGATGGGTGTACAATAGGTAGGTGTGTGTAGTGATGGGTGAACTATAGGTAGGTGTGTGTAGTGATGGGTCTACAATAGGCAGGTGTGTGGTGATGTGTGTACAATAGGCAGGTGTGCATAGTGATGGGTGTACAATAGGCAGGTGTGTGTAGTGATGTGTGTACAATAGGCAGGTGTGTGTAGTGATGGGTGTACAATAGGTAGGTGTGTGTAGTGATGGGTGAACTATAGGTAGGTGTGTGTAGTGATGGGTCTACAATAGGCAGGTGTGTGTAGTGATGTGTGTACAATAGGCAGGTGTGCATAGTGATGGGTGTACAATAGGCAGGTGTGTGTAGTGATGGGTGTGTACAATAGGCAGGTGTGTGTAGTGATGGGTGTACAATAGGCAGGTGTGCATAGTGATGGGTGTGTACAATAGGCAGGTGTGTGTAGTGATGGGTGTACAATAGGTAGGTGTGTGTAGTGATGGGTGTGTACAATAGGCAGGTGTGTATAGTGATGGGTGAACAATAGACAGGTGTGTGTAGTGATGGGTGTGTACAATAGGCAGGTGTGTGTAGTGATGGGTGAACAATAGACAGGTGTGTGTAGTGATGGATGTGTACAATAGGTAGGTGTGTGTAGTGATGGGTGTACTATAGGCAGGTGTGTGTAGTGATGGGTGTACTATAGGCAGGTGTGTGTAGTGATGGGTGTGTACAATAGGCAGGTGTGTGTAGTGATGGGTGTGTACAATAGGCAGGTGTGTGTAGTGATGGGTGTGTACAATAGGCAGGTGTGTGTAGTGATGGGTGTGTACAATAGGTAGGTGTGTGTAGTGATGGGTGTGTACAATAGGCAGGTGTGTGTAGTGATGGGTGTGTACAATAGGCAGGTGGGTGTAGTGATGGGTGTACTATAGGCAGGTGTGTGTAGTGATGGGTGTACAATAGGCAGGTGTGCATAGTGATGGGTGTGTACAATAGGCAGGTGTGTGTAGTGATGGGTGTACTATAGGCAGGTCAGCGCTGTCAGAGCTCGGGGTTTCCGCACTTCTCCCCTCATTCAGACGCCACTCGGAGTGCGATGGGAGAGTCTGGCAGCGTGTGTTGTCTCTGTGTGTGTCTCTGTGTGTGTGTCTGTCTGTGTCGGACGTGGTGTTGGCCACCCATCCCCTCGTGTGCCGTGCTAGCCTTCATAGGTGCTCGATAACAGCACTTGCCCCTACAGTATGTTAAGGCTATACGGGGGATATTTGTCTTTGTGTTCTCTGTGTGTGGGGAGCGGTAGTGTAGTGGTTAGTGCGCTGCGGTACGAACCCGGCGATCCGAGTTCGATTCCCGCTCGCGGTCAACACCAGTGACGATTCTCTGAATCGATCATGGGCCTCCCCTAGGTCGACTCAGCCTAAAATGAGTAGCTGACGCGCTGTGTAAAACATCGCCACTGGGGAGACAAAGGCGGGCGTGGTGCTGTGATGTGTGCCGTGTCGTTTGCGAACAGCACTTGCCCTAAAACTATGTTGGAAGCTATGGGGGGGATCTTTGTCTTTGTGGAGAGCGGGTGGAGCAGGCAGCTTGGCTCGCTCACCACCACTCGGAGTGGTGGTTGTTATTATTTATGGCCCCGTGAAATGGCCACGCAGTTGATTGCGGAGCACGGAGACAGAGGGACAGTGGTGATTACACCTCATAGTAAACTTAACGGCAATATAATATACAAAACCAAATAGTCAACAGTTTTAAGCCCGTGTCAATCCACTGCTGGGCGAAGTATTCCCCGTGCCGTGTCGGTCATGAGGGTTGATTGACCATACTTCACCACGCTGGACCAGTGTGTGTTGAGACCCCAGGATGTTAACCGTGGTCGGGATTCGAACTCAGGTTTCCATGTTCATCGTTCAGTGCGCTAACCAGTGCGCCACCGCTCCACTCCCTCGCGACTTGTGCACGTAACGACTAATAATTAATTTTGGGAATCGTGCAAATGGGATGCTCATGATGTTACGTGCACGGCACGTACTCGATGCTTGCAAGCAGCGCGAGAGAGTGGAGCGGTGGCGCACTGGTTAGCGCACTGAGCCACGAACATGAACTGCGCACGGAGCTGGACCAAAGTGAGACGAAATGTTGCACCGAGCGGCGACAGCTCACGAGCACGGCCGTCGTGAGCACAAGCGGGCGGCGCTGGACGTCGTGGACACGGCCGCCGCATCGCCACCGCCACCGCCACCCCAACGCTCATTGCGCACCCAGAGAGAGAGGGGAGGTTGGGGCCGCGGTGACGGCAGTGGCGAGCGCCACCCGAGTTTCGATTCCCGACCACGGCTAACATCAGTTGCTCGGAGTGATACCGAAACGCCGGTTGTGGACTTCCACCCACCCACCCGCCACCTCCTTCCCCCGCATCACTTCACCAACTCGCGTCGACCGGCGTGGTGAGGTTTGGCGATACCGATTCCCGAGGGAACCAGAACCTACGGAGCCTCTCGTCGTGGCGGTGGTGGGCGGCTAAAACTGCGAATCCTCGTCTGCGCAGAAAAAGGACTTCAAAGTTCACACTCGGGCACTCTGTGATGGCATCGCTAGAATCAGAATATTAT